TATTAATGAGGGGGGCTGTTCGATGTAGAGTGACGTTAACTGCTCATGATTATTAATGAGGGGGGAGGGTGCTCCATGTGGAGAAACGTCACCCGCTCATAATTATTAATGAGGGGCAGGTCCATGTGGACGACGTAACCTGTTCATGATTATTAATGAGGGGGGCTGATCGACGTGGAGTGACGTCACGCGCGTTACACACTGACATTCTTGGGGAAATACAGTAGTAACTAATAACTCCTGAGTCAATGCCGAAGTCACACGGACCAAAGATTTCACACAGAGTCTACGAATTCTGTATCTATTGCGGTCATTCAAATGCTAATGTAAAGATTTAGATTTGAAGCTTTCGTCACTGCAGGAATCCATACTCTTTGGTTCTTTAGGTAAAGTCTCGTAGGTAGAAAAATAATAGATCACGACGTTTCTATCGCAACACGAGCAATCGTCATCAGGTGGGACAATGACAAGAAAAAAACTACTTGCTGTGGTTGATTGTTTTGCTTCCATACTCCTCTGTAGTCCTGACAAATAATACATTCACACACTTAAGTGTGCATGCATACACACCTACATTTAACTCTAAGCATGCTCTGCCAATCGTAACACTGAACTCTGACTCCCCAAGTCAAGACCAAACTAGAGTTCAGCAGACAACATTGGGTACATGTCTCAAAACATATCGGGATGATGGGTTCTGTCCCGCTAACATGGCGGAGAACACCCCCAAGTTTACTGCCGGTATATAATTCTGCATCGAGAAGGGTGGTGTTGAAAAAGAAAACTTGAAATGCAAAGCGAAGTTGTCCTGTACTCTTAATAACCCGCCAAAATACCCTCAAAGTCGGGGTTATCTCAATAGCTCCCTATTGCGACGAAGCTCAATTCCGTCTGCAATGGGTGTGACAAGGTAATTGCAGAGGGCCTTTGCTGCATTGCCTGCTAGCTCTTCCCATGCACCCACTCCGATTTCATTACGGCAGCACCTGGCCATCAATCCGTCCATCCTCCAGCAAGCACATGCCACCACAATTGACTGCAAACAACAATCCACTCATGTCATAACCCACTCAATAACAGCCACTCTCAAATAGAAGCCTCCCTTTTTTTCTCTCTGGACAATGAGATTTTGTGAGTTATCGTCGGCTTTTATATTTTCCCAAGTCAAAAAACTCGACGTACTCCTGTTTTGTACAACCGTATCCATAAACGACTTGGATATGTTATTAGTTTCACTGGACATGTGTGAAAAAGATCTTCACAGCTTTACGGATTTTATTTACCAGTCGAAATAAACATTCCGATTCTGAATGTATTCAATGGCACTGGGCTTTCCGCATGGCGAAATAACTTCACAGGGCAGTAAGACAACGCAATTCATAAGAAAAGAATTGGTATTCAAATACTTCACTGCATTTTTTTTGTGTGTGAACTGCTGTGTCGTGGTGGCCAAACATCCCAAATGCAAGACCCTCCCGAGAATCAGTCTTGAGACTCAGACCTTCAATTCCAGCAGTAGTGTAAAACAACAGTCAATGTCGTATCCTGTAGAGTGGCAGAACATTCAGTAGAGCGTAATACCATAACTACTGCATATTATAGTACTACTCAGCACTGTTCTTTGCCGAGTGCCCAGTCCATTATCGATCCACTGCTGGATAAAGGCCCTCCCCACGCCGTGTCGGCCACGAGGCTTGTTTGTTTGACTATACTTCACCACGCTGGTCTCCGCCGTGTTGGTATACACTCTACACTCAACAGTACGGTAACTTAACACTGTACACTAAACAGTACGGTAACTTAACACTGTACACCAAACAGTACGTCAACTTAACACTGTACACTTAACAGTACGGTAACTTAACACTGTACACTTAACAGTACGTCAACTTAACACTGTACACTTAACAGTACGGTAACTTAACACTGTGCATTTAACAGTACGGTAACTTAACACTGTACACTTAACAGTACGGTAACTTAACACTGTACACCAAACAGTACGGTAACTTAACACTACACTCAACAGTACGGTAACTTAACACTGTACACTTAACAGTACGGTAACTTAACACTGTACACTTAACAGTACGGTAACTTAACACTGTACACTTAACAGTACGTCAACTTAACACTGTACACTTAACAGTACGGTAACTTAACACTGTACACCAAACAGTACGGTAACTTAACACTGTACACTTAACAGTACGGTAACTTAACACTGTACACATAACAGTACGTCAACTTAACACTGTACACTCAACAGTACGGTAACTTAACACTGTACACCAAACTGTACGGTAACTTAACACTGTACACTTAACAGTACGGTAACTTAACACTGTACACTTAACAGTACGGTAACTTAACACTGTACACTTAACAGTACGGCAACTTAACACTGTACACCAAACAGTACGGTAACTTAACACTGTACACTTAACAGTACGGTAACTTAACACTGTACACCAAACAGTACGGTAACTTAACACTGTACACTTAACAGTACGGTAACTTAACACTGTACACTCAACAGTACGGTAACTTAACACTGCACACTTAACAGTACGGTAACTTAACACTGTACACTTAACAGTACGGTAACTTAACACTGCACACTTAACAGTACGGTAACTTAACACTGTACACTTAATAGTACGGTAACTTAACACTGTACACTTAACAGTACGTCAACTTAACACTGTACACTTAACAGTACGGTAACTTAACACTGTACACTTAACAGTACGGTAACTTAACACTGTACACCAAACAGTACGGTAACTTAACACTGTACACTTAACAGTATGGCAACTTAACACTGTACACTTAACAGTACGGTAACTTAACACTGTACACTTAACAGTACGTCAACTTAACACTGTACACTTAACAGTACGGTAACTTAACACTGTACACTTAACAGTACGTCAACTTAACACTGTACACTTAACAGTACGGTAACTTAACACTGTACACTTAACAGTACGGTAACTTAACACTGTACACCAAACAGTACGGTAACTTAACACTGTACACTTAACAGTACGGCAACTTAACACTGTACACTTAACAGTACGTCAACTTAACACTGTACACTTAACAGTACGGCAACTTAACACTGTACACTTAACAGTACGGCAACTTAACACTGTACACTTAACAGTACGGTAACTTAACACTATACACTTAACAGTACGGTAACTTAACACTGTACTCTTAACAGTACGGTAACTTAACACTGTACACTTAACAGTACGGCAACTTAACACTGTACACTTAACAGTACGGCAACTTAACACTGTACACTTAACAGTACGGTAACTTAACACTATACACTTAACAGTACGGTAACTTAACACTGTACTCTTAACAGTACGGTAACTTAACACTGTACACTTAACAGTACGTCAACTTAACACTGTACACTTAACAGTACGTCAACTTAACACTGTACACTTAACAGTACGTCAACTTAACACTGTACACTACACAGCAGCACGGCTGTACTGCGCATGATAAAGTCAACACGCAGATGAGCCCTACCACGACAATGTAAGCACGACTCAACAGAACCACACACACAACACAACACGTACACAACACACACAACACGTACACAACACACACACACAACACGTACACAACACACAACACGTACACAACACACAACACAACACGTACAAAACACACAACACAACACGTACAAAACACACAACACAACACCACAACACACACCACACACACCACAACACACAACACAACCCGCACACGACACTACGCACACGTACACAACACACACAACACAAAACACACACAACACAAAACACCCCACATAACACCACAACACACACACATAACACCACAACACACACACAACACCACACACACAACACCACAACACACAACACACACAACACCACACACACACACAACACACACCACACACAACACACACAACACCACACACACAACACACACAACAACAAACACACACAACACACACAACAACAAACACACACACACAACACCAAACACACACACACACAACACCACACAACACACACAACAAACACACACAACACACACACAACAACAACACCACACACACCACACACACAACACCACAACACACACAACACCACACAACACACACAACAACAAACACACACAACACACACAACACCACACAACACACACAACACACACCACACACCACACACACAACACACACAACAACAAACACACACAACAACAAACACCACACACACAACACAAACGTTCGCAAAGCGTCCGTTCCATCCAGCGGTGGAGCGGCAGCCGGAAATCTCCCCGAAACGGCGATTGCCTGCCGCTGTTCTCTCAACATGCGTGTGCGTGTGCCGTTGTCAGCTTGGCATGACCGTAGCATGTTCCACGGGGGCTCCACGTTATTATAATCGTTGCTCGGGGGTGGCGGCTACGGCTCACGGCGGCGTCGCTAACGGGGACCTCGGAAAACGCGCGGCTCAGTCAGAGACATCCGTCCGTGAACAAGAAGCAGCAGCGGCACAAGCAGCAAGCAGCACAAGAGATCGGGCCGCTGCGGGTGTTTCTTTTCGGGCTGAATGTCGCCAGACCAGCCCCGACCCCCCCCCCCCACCAGCGTGGTCAAAACTAAACCGCTTCACCTGACACGACCCCACACAACCCAACGTGTGATGGTGCTGGTGGGAGGTGAGAAGCGAGGCCCCTTGTGAGACGGGCGGTGATTCGGTGCTTAGGTTTGAGGGGAGTCCCGGCAGAGAGATGCTTGTGCTTGGTGTGTGGTGGGTGGTGGTGGTGGGTGGTGGTGGTGGGTGGTTGTGGGTGGTGTGTGGTGTGTGGTGGTGGTGGGTGGTGGTGGGTGGTGTTGGTGGGTGGTGGTGGGTGGTGGTGTGTGGTGGTGGGTGGTGGTGTGCTTGGTGTGTGCGTGGTGGGTGGTGGATGCATCCTGCTGACTTCATTTCGGTTGTTACCTGCGAGCCCTAGGGCAGGCCGGCAGCTTCGCCGGTTCGTCCGCTCCGCCTCTCTCCTCGACGTACGACTACCATCGTCGCGTTAAATCAACACGGCGGCGGCGGTGGTGATGATGCTGGTGATGCTGGTGATGATGATGTGTGTGGTGGGGGGTGGGGGTCGCATCCATTCAGTTTCCGTTTTGTTCCGCACTCTGCTCGCCTGGTGGCGCTGAAGAAGAAAAAAAACTATTTTTTTTATTTAAAGCTTTCGCCACTGCAGTGATTCATATTGTTGGTTCTTTCGGTAAAGTCACGTATAAGGGAAACAATAAAATAATATTAGTAACAAAAAATATAAAACAATTAAATTCTCACGGCGTGTGTGAAAACGACAGCAAGAAAAATTTGCTTGCTGTGGTTTTCACACCCAATGATGATTGCTTGTGTTGCGGTCGTAAACGTCGTGAGAATTTTATTGTTTTATACTCTTATTCCTTTGTTGTTTCCCTTCCACGTGGTGACTTTACCGAAAGAACCAAGAATAACAACAAAGTTTCCGTGGCTAGGCCAATAAACAGCAACTTGAATCACTACCTATGAGATCTTCACTCAAAACTGCTCTAGAGGAGTTGTACAACCCCTAGCTGCCACTGCTATTCAATGGCCTAAAATATGGCTCTAGATTTGTGTTATATATTTACGTAGTTTATTGTTAAAAATTCGGTCACAGTCCCTATGATCACTGTTACATTGGATTTATGGCTTTTATTTTGGTGATTTCGAAAAGTTTTTTTGTTTTGGCCATGTTTTTGTTTATTGTAGTACGGAGTTAGACTGATGGCCTTAATCTTAGTTGTCTTGTGGTTGTTGTTGTTGACTTGCATCCCACTGGGATTTTTGCACACAGCGTTGGTGTACGGTGCTATTTCAGGAATATTTTGATATTTTTTTCCTGTATTTTCTGTTTGCACAGTCACATAGTCACTTTAAGATGTTTTTCTTGTTCATGTTTTTTGTTTGTTGCGGTTGCACCCGATTCAAGAGCCGAATGGCTCACAGGGCTATACCAAATAAATAAACTATGAACTAACTATGAACTCTCGGCGTCGTTTCGCTTCGTTCGAGGGGGTCGCTCGCCGTACTGAGAGGAGTCACTTCGACCTCAGGGCCCGGTTACGTTTCGCGTTCTTCATCGAGGCAAGCGGCGGGGAGTTCGTTTCGTTTTGTCGCGTGCGATATTATAGACAGCTCCCCCCATCCCGTCCCATCCCTCCCTCCCGAATAAACTCAACAATCAAACCGATGCATTAGTTTAACACGTAGGCTATCGCGACCAATATCGTCCATAAGAGGTTTTTTTAGCGTTAGATCGCGTAAATAAAAGACATTATCCTGCCCAGGGAGCTGGTAGGAACGTTGGGTTGCTCGGTCAATGGTCAGGGTCAACGGCGGCTGTGAGGGCGGGCACAAACCGGCGTGAGTAGGTTAAATGTTGAGTTTCATAAGGGCACCACGGGGTGACCAGCCCCTCCACACCCAGCCCCACCCCTCCCACCCCCCACCCAGCCCCACCCCACCCAGCCCCACCCCTTCCACCCCCCACCCAGCCCCACCCCAATCAGCCCCACCCCTCCCACCCCCCACTCAGCCCCACCCTCCCCACCCAGCCCCACCCTCCCCACCCAGCCCCACCAGCTCCACCCTCCCCACCCTCCCCTCCCCACCCAGCCCCTCCCCACCCTCCCCACCCAGCCCCTCCCCACCCTCCCCTCCCCACCCAGCCCCTCCCCACCCTCCCCACCCAGCCCCTCCCCACCCTCCCCACCCAGCCCCACCCCTCCCACCCCCCACCCAGCCCTACCCCTCCCACCCCCCACCCCACCCAGCCCCACCCCACGCGGCCCCACCCCAACCAGCCCCACCCTCCCCACTCAGCCCCACCCTCCCCACCCTCCCCACCCAGCCCCTCCCCACCCTCCCCACCCAGCCCCACCCCTCCCATTTTTGGATGCACGACGGACGGACACAATAATTCCTTGTGGGCTGCTGGTGTAACCAGGAGGTTCCTACCAGTATACATGTTGTCGTTGAACCCTGCCACCACCCCGACACATCCAACTAGTAAGGGTTGTCACCTAAACAGAACGTGGCCAATTCGTCACTAGTACAGCAACACCGGTGTGTTAAAGAGCCAAGCCACAACGTTTACAATCTGAGTACGACGTTTCGCCAGTAATTACAACTAGCTTCATCAGGCGACAGACAGATTTGTGGAGAAGTCCACCTGTTTCGTTCCTTATATAGAAGCGTAGATGTGTTATACTGGTGACAAATTCTTTGGTTCTTTCGGTAAAGTCACGGTAGAAAAAATAAAATAAAAACAACTAAAACAAATCACGACGTTTCGGAGGTAACACAAGAAGCTTCCGTCATCAGGTGGCAACAGTCACAGCAAAATTACTGTGGTGAGTAGAGAGAGAGAGCTGTTTGTGACAAGAGATTATATAGGTACCATGCCCAGGAGCTTATCTACAGTGAGGGAAGAAAAGTATTTGATCCCCTGCTGATTTTGTATGTTTGCCCCCTGACAAAGAAATGATCAGTCTATAATTTTAATGGTAGGTTTATTTGAACAGTGAGAGACAGAATAACAACAACAAAATCCAGAAAAACGCATGTCAAAAATGTTATAAATTGATTTGCATTTTAATGAGGGAAATAAGTATTTGACCCCTCTGCAAAACATGACTTAGTACTTGGTGGCAAAACCCTTGTTGGCAATCACAGAGGTCAGACGTTTCTTGTAATTGGCCACCAGGTTTGCACAAATCTCAGGAGGGATTTTGTCCCACTCCTCTTTGCAGATCTTCTCCAAGTCATTAATGTTTTGAGGCTGACGTTTGGCAACTCGAACCTTCAGCTCCCTCCACAGATTTTCTATGGGATTAAGGTCTGGAGACTGGCTAGGCCACTCCAGGACCTTAATATGCTTCTTCTTGAGCCACTCCTTTGTTGCCTTGGCCGTGTGTTTTGGGTCATTGTCATGCTGGAATACCCATTCACGACCCATTTTAAATGCCCTGGGTGAGGGAAGTAGGTTCTCACCCAAGATTTGAGGGTACATGGCCCCGTCCATCGTCCCTTTGATGCGGTGAAGTTGTCCTGTCACCTTACCAGAAAAACACCCCCAAAGCATAATGTTTCCACCTCCATGTTTGACGGTGGGGATGGTGTTCTTGGAGTCATAGGCAGCATTCCTCCTCCTCCAAACACGGCGAGTTGAGTTGATGCCAAAGAGCTCCATCTTGGTCTCATCTGACAACAACACTTTCACCCAGTTGGCCTCTGAATCATTCAGATGTTCATTGGCAAACTTTAGACGGGCATGTGTATGTGCTTTCTTGAGCAGGGGGACCTTGCGCGCGCTGTAGGATTTCAGTCCTTCACGGCGTAGTGTGTTACCAATTGTTTTCTTGGTGACCGTGGTCCCAGCTGCCTTGAGATCATTGACAAGATCCTCCCGTGTGGTTCTTGGCTGATTCCTCACCGTTCTCATGATCAATGCAACTCCACGAGGTGAGATCTTGCATGGAGCCCCAGGCTGAGAGAGATTGACAGTTCTTTTGTGTTTCTTCCATTTACGAATAATCGCACCAACTGTTGTCACCTTCTCACCAAGCTGCTTGGCAATGGTCTTGTAGCCCATTCCAGCCTTGTGTAGGTCTACAATCTTGCCCCTGACATCCTTGGAGAGCTCTTTGGTCTTGGCCAAAGAGCTCTCCAAGGATGTCAGTTTTCTGGGAGCCAGAAATCTTTCTGATTGAGAGGGGGTCAAATACTTATTTCCCTCATTAGAATGCAAATCAATTTATAACATTTTTGACATGCGTTTTTCTGGATTTTGTTGTTGTTATTCTCTCTCACTGTTCAAATAAACCTACCATTAAAATTATAGACTGATCATTTCTTTGTCAGTGGGCAAACGTACAAAATCAGCAGGGGATCAAATACTTTTTTCCCTCACTGTAATCCCCGTCCCCCAACACTCATCCACCCCCCACCCTGCATCCGTCCTCCCTGGCTCCTCCCCCTTTCTTACCCTATATAATCTCGTGTCACAATCAGCTCTCTCTCTCTCTACTCACCACAGTAATTTTGCTGTGACTGTTGTCACCTGGTGATGGAAGCTTCTTGTGTTGCCTCCGAAACGTCGTGATGTTTTAGTTTTATTTTTTATATTTTTTCTACCTACGTGACTACCGAAATGAACCAAAGAGTATGGATCCTTGCAGTCACGAAAACTTTTAATCTATAATTAGTGACGAATTGGCACGTTCTGTTTACGTGACAACCCTTACTAGTTGGCTGTGCCGGGTTTAACGACACATTTATATATTAACGCGATCTAACCCCCAAAAAACCTCTATTATCGATGCATAATTGTCGTGCAGAGAGCAGCGTGTGTGTGTAGTTGAGCTGTATGACAGGAGTTTGAGGATTCATCCCTGTGAAGAAGAGGAAAACAATACTATAAAATTACGATCACGCGCTCTGTTACGCCCCTGAGACGTTACACATCTCAGGTGTGTTACAATGTGGCTGACAAGATAAGATATATTTTGGATCGTTTCATTCCTTATGGTACACACGGGCCCAGTGAAACATACTTTGGCAATATTATTCGTATGGCTGACGTTGATGGACAGCAGCACCTGCATCGAGGTGGTTGAGCCGTATAATTGTACTCTTTGGTATTTTCGGTAAAGTCACGTAGGTAAAATAAAATCAATAAAATAAAATAAATGAAAAGAAATAAAATCACGACGTTTCGGAGGCAACACAAGCTTCCGTCTTCAGGTGGAAACCGTCACAGCAATTTTGCTGTGTCCGCCACGTCGTGATTTAATTTAGTTGTTTTAATTAATTTTATTTTATTGATTTTTTTTTTTTACCGACGTGACTTTACCGAAAAAAAGCAAAGAGTATGAATCCTTGCAGTCACGAAAAGCTTCAAATCTAAAACCATACAATTGCGTCAGGAGTAGCGGGTGTATATTTGGCTTTGATAATGTCTCCGTATTTGTGAATCGCGCGTTGTTGAGTCGTTATATGCTCCACGGTGTGTTCTGGGTGGCCGCAGTTACACACTGCCGGAGAGTATTAAACTTTAAATTTGAGCATGGTCGAGTATCCACAACTGTCATGGTTTGTGTGGATGCAGTCAAGGGTTGCCCATGAGCTTCCAGCCAGGGATCTTCCGTGTCGGATCTTTGACTTTTGCAATGGAGACCTGGGACGACATTGAGCAATAGACTTCTCATTATACATGAAACGTGCTAATATTGGTCCAACGATTCCAACCACATGCTTACTACCTTGGCCCAAACATCACATGTTTTTTTGGGTTCGTTTGTTTATATATATGGGAATATAAATGAGGATTTGACGAAGCAAACCTTTGGCCATGTCAAACAATGCGCATTGTATCCCATCAGAGAGAACAACCGTGGCAACCTGCTCCCTACGCCTACAACTGTAAAAGAACTCGAGTGATTTTCTCATTAACCATTGATGTGATTGCTCGTTTGTTTACAGCTGAGTCAGTGCTGGAAATTACAAAATTCTATGACGGGGATGAGTCTATCCATAGGACAAATCACTGCTGACATTCCCAAGAAGTGGTACTCATTTATTGACTTCAGAGGGATGATGGGCAGAGTGAACAACTCAAGCAGGATTTGAACCCGAAACTTTTCTATTGCGAGACGCTCACTCTTCCTTTGAACCACCAGGCCGGGGTAACTGTAGTTATATTTATGGCAACATTGATTTTGGGTGGCACATAAAATGAAAACTTTATTACAGTGCATCGATAGGTTGGGGAGTGTTTGCTAAAACAAATTCATAATCACATAAATTCTATGAAAACAGGAGTCTTGTACACACTATACGTCAACATTATTTCTTTGTAATACGCGCTTGTATGCTATTATGGCCAGCGGCCTGGGAGATGCAGCCCGATGGCTCGGCGCAATACATCTGGCTTTATTGCCAGCAAACAATGGGAAATAGGAGTCGTTCGTGTTGATATGGAGGCCCCCTGATGCCATCAGCGAACCACTGCTCAGGGCCCCCCCCCCCCCCCCAAAGCCGTGCTTCTTTCAGTATGCAAATCAGCCCCCGTCTCGCCGCGGGTGGAACACGTGAATCCCCCTCCGCGGCCCGCACGCCCTCCCCCTCGCAGCGAACAAATCGAGGAGTCTGGACAACCATGGGTGCTCACTGGAGGCCACATTCACCGGGGAGATTTCGTGTTTATTCTCAGAGAGCGTGCACAAATTTACACGAAGCTTACATTTATATGAAGAGAGATGCCTCTTTAAATTAATTGTATCAGGCGTGTTTGCATTCATAATAAATAAAAAATTGTGGTGCATGTGTTCATTGTCAGAAATAACACATTTTCATAACGATTCCTCTGATGACATTAAAAAAGTCAATAGTCATTAAACTCTACGTGCCGCAATAATAATTTATGGGGTTGTAATAACAGTTGTGCATTGTAACGACCTATATTTTCATTCATTTATTTCGTATATCATCATTAGCAATGTGTTCTTGTGATCCAATGGTGCAATAATTGACACAAGTACATGGGGAGTACAACAGTGTAAAATAATCAAATCTTAAGAAGATCAAGGAAAAACGTTAAGAGTAGAAAATTTAATTTTTTTGTTGAAAATACAGTGATTACCAGGCCATTTCCAGCCATGTGTTTCATCATTTGTTTCATTTGCCTGTTTTAGGCTCCTGTTTGTGCCTGCAAAAATATAAAGGTGGACATTTATACGAGTTAGAAACATCTCATGTGCACATTATGCAATTGGGCACATTGCACCCTTTTGCACCTTTATCAATGTTACTTTTTTTCAGACTGCAGAATCAAAAACCCAGATTTATTTTTGTTTACTATCAACCATGAATTTTGCTAAATTATGCGACATTAGAAAATAATGAATAAATTCACAATCTGCCCAAACGCTATTAATTTTGTTCTCATATTTAATCACTTCAATTGTTTTCCCTGTAAACCCTCACTGAGTCTCCAGAATTTTTCAGGAGGATTCTGCATTGGGATGTTTGACCAATTTAATGAATGCACGTTTTGCTTCATGTGAGAGGAGAGCGGAGGACCCATAGAAAACCCACCAACACATACGAGATCACACCTCGCAACTCCATCAATACGCCACGTGGAAATCCCTAGAGGCCACCCATCCAAGTTCCCAAGCAGGTTCAAACCTGCTTAGTGCCCGAGATGTGAAGTGATGCGGTGCATTTTTTTGGTGATTTGGTCACATTTCTATGCTCTCAATGGTTTTCTGGTGTATGATAAAATTTGATCAATTGCATCCACTTACTTGATTAATCTTCTTTTCCAGACTCTGTAGACTATTGTGACAACGAAGATGAGAAAATTACAGCAGACATTGCAAGCAGGGCAGCTAATCCTTCCTTCATGCCAGGGGTTGGTTTATTGAATGACTCAGCATTTGACGTATCTGCCAACAACAACATATGCATTGTTTCTGATTAACCAAGAATAACAGAAGATGTATATATATTGCCATTTTCTATTCTGTGATGGTACCTTAAAGACCAAATATAAATACAATACTTAGTTTTCAATAGAAGTTGTATATCTCCAGATTATAAGACGCTCCTGAAAAGTAAGACACACCCCCAATCCTTTTCAGAATGAAAAAAAAGGAGTAGTGATCCAGTCCCGCAGTTGGTGAGCTCCATAACTTGTCACATTTGCGTGCAAAGACCCTGATCAGGGAGGTCATGGTGACGTGAACTTCACTATGCAGATCACTGTGCCTTGCTCGACCACACTGAAGTGGGCCAACAACCACTAATCAGCTCCATTTCCGAATTCAGTCAAAGAATTTGGTCTCCGTGTGAGCCTCAGGAAAACTGAGGTAATGCATCAACTGGCTCCTGGCAGCAGTGAAGCTGGAGCAAGAATCCAAACTACCTGGAGAGCCACACGGTTCACCACTTGGTGGTAGATAAATACCCGGCAAACCGGTAATAGTAGTAATCGTGCTCTGTCGAGTCGACGAACATGTCCTCGGGTGTTTTTTCAGAACCGACCCTGGCCACAAACGATAGCCCAACGAAGTGGCTTATCATCATCCTCATCATCACGTGGAAATTGATAGCAGCCAATCACTCTATAAACGCGTGACGTTCATTCCAAACGTGAGGGGAAAAACCGGAGGGACCCGGAGAGAAAAAATCCACGCGACCACGGGGAGAGCGAGAGAGACGCGCAAACTCCAAATCTACAGCAGGCGTCAGGGTCGGGATCGAACCCTGACTCAGTGGACCTTACCTAAAAACAAATTAAACACCATATTGTTGAGTCTTTCGGTGAAGTCACGTAGATAGGTTCAAAGAAAATTATAAATGACAAAAAAACTTACGACGTTCCGATCGCAACGCAAGCGTTCGTCATCGGGAAGAAAGACGATGACGAACGCGTGTGTTGCGATCGGAACGTCGTAGTTTTTTGTCATTTATAATTTTCTTTGAACCTATCTATACGTGACTTTACCGAAAGACCCAAGAATATGAATTCCTGCCGTTCACAAAAGCTTTAAGTCAAAATGAAACGACACTTGGTGGTGGTGGTGGTAGATAAATACCCGGCAAGCTGGTGACAGCAGCAGCAGTAGAGTGAACAAGCATGTCCCGGGTGAAGGCGAGGGAGCCGTTGTGCGGCTCGGGCTGCACCCCGAGCAGCTCGCACATGAGCGCGTACACGTGCACGCTGGCGAACGGCTCCGCCGCGTAGCCCCGGCGAAAGCGAGGCCCGAAGGCGCGGAAGATGGTCCACATGTCCGGCTCCGCGTTGTCGAAGCCGTGTTCGCCCTTGTTGAACTGGAATATCAGCCTCTGCGCACAGCGATCGATGGAATAATCTTTTTTTTAAGACGCTCTGAATTTCAAATAAAAAATTGCATTTCAAACATGTACGTTAACCATCGACAATGTGTGACAAAAAAAATACGTGGGTTTTCTCGACGATCATCGGCTAAATCGCTCATCGTCTTCAGAATTGGTTAGCGATTCCACGAATCAGGAACCAGCCCTCGATTCCATTACACCGTCTCGCGAGTGGGAACTCGAGAGGATTTTTGATATTTGATCTACTCTTCCGCACTGAACAGGCGTGTCGGAAGAGGTGGGGCGTACCCATATTTTACCCCAACACTTGCGACCTCCCGGGTAGGTCAACCAGTGAGCTCGTAGAGTACAAGTCATGTTGTGCTGACTGTTACACGATGGCAACACGTTTCGTTTCCAGTTTTAACGGTAATCGTGTAGGACGTGTATTGCTCTAGACATTTCTAAACGTACGGAAAACCAGTAACAATTTTTTTTATGGAAAAATAATAATTAACAACCCTACGGCAATACCTTTTGTTATAGCAACGAGAAGCGTTGTTTAGGACTTATCTATTCTGCTCTTGTTTTCTGTCTATTGCACAATGTGGAGACTTAAATATAACGGAATCACTTTACCCCATTCACTAAGTAGCCAAGGTCCCCATACATCATGATGGGTAGGAGTCTACTTTGATCTCTCAGGTGAAAGTATTCTGGAAACTCTTCCCTTTTGTAAACTTTCAGGTGCGGATGGGCACTCTTCAGGGCATTGTACACCTGTTCCTCCTTCCCTTCCTTGGGCAAAAGCATGCCAAATGCTCCGTAGTCCACCAGCTCAAACTTGAGGTCTTCCTTGAAGTCAATGAACTTTGACAGCACAATTTCATTGATGTCCGGAGCTTTCCGAGTGGTGGTCATGCCGTGGTCCGAGGTGATGATGACATTGAGGGTGTCCTTCAGGCCCCTCTTCTCGATGGCATCGACCAGGAAGCCGATGGTCTCGTCCACCTGCCGCACCATCGCCCGCCGCTCTTCCGTCTCCGGCCCAAACTTGTGGCCCGTGGAGTCCGGCTCGCTGTGGTACATGGTCACGAAGTCCAAGTCGTCCTTGGTGAACCAATCCATGACTAATTGGATGTTGCGAAACCAGTCCTCCTTGTTGCTGTTCGGATGGTCTCGACCCACTGTCTTGTACACAGACTGGTTAAAGTAGCTGGCAGCACCCCCAGGAAAGCGAATGGAGCCCGTCTTCAGACCCTGCACAAAACATGGAGATTGATGTGAATATGAAATCCCCATAGTGACAATGACGAATGAATATTCTTTTTTTTAAGTTGATAAATGTGCAAGTACTTTAATGTGATGGATGTCACCTGGTTTTGGGCTGTGATCCAGAGTGGAATTGTTCCATTCCACCATTCTGAGCGCAGCTGGGTTTCCTGAAAACCTTGCTTTTCTCCGGTATCTGGGTTGAACAGCATGTTGTGAACTACGCCGTGAGATTCCACGTGCTTTCCTGCAAACGTGCACACGTGAAGCACGCTCCTTGCTAATGTCGTATTGCCTACAGTGGTGGACACGTGATCTTTGGACTTTGGCATATAAATTGAAAACCCATTTTTTAGAACTCCGTTTTTAGTTTAGTTTGTTATCCTTCCCCTGCACCTCCGATTAGCAGAGTTGGCTACGTATGGTGTAAAAGAAACACATAGTGTTGTCAGTGTTGTCATCCCTGTGTATTTGTGGTATCAATAACCTGGAGGGATTGGCGGGGGGGGCATGCGCCAGTGGTTGAGCTTGGGGGGCCAAGATTCCAAAAAAGTTGAGAACCACCGGCTTAAGTTATTACAGCGACCTAATTTTGATTCCCTGCTCCAGCTAACATCGGTGTTATGCGCTATCTGAGCGGGTCCTTGTATTGGTCTCCACCGCCCTTCACAACTCGCACTTGAGACCAGCTTGGTGAAGTGTGGGCAGACAACTTCAAGGACCGACAAGGCACGGACATGACTCCATACAGCCGTGGACTAAATTGTGCCTGTTACGTTATACCCAGAATGCTGTACCACAGGACTCGGTGTGATTTTGTGGACTTACATGGAAATTGTTGATCAGTTCAAATAAGTAGGGGTTTGTCGTTTTCTTTCATCGACATATTTTGTGTAATACATCGTAAGCTAAATGTATCACTAATTTAATGTGCTTAATCTTATAATGGCTGATTAAAGCATAAGAAAACATATTATATTAAACGAGGAAATTGATAGTCCACTAATGTACATCTCGTTTTCTGGGCTGTAAAATTCAGCCACCGTAATCGTAACAGTTAAACGCTTTGGCACTTTATTGGCTTTTAACCTTGGCCAGCAGGGCAATCAGTTTTAAATCTTACATGCTTTTAAAATGCAGTAAAGATTAATACGCCAGAGCAACTATCGCACTATGAAACAATCATCGTTAGCAGTCTGCGCGTAAAGATTTCAGTTTTCAGTTTCATTTATTTGGTATAGCCCTGTGAGCCATTCAGCTCTTGAATCGGGTGCAACCGCAACAAACAAAAAACAAAAACATGAACAAGAAAACATCTTAAAGTGATTATGTAAAGATGAAATGTCACAGTGTAACTCGGGTAAACACTTCCCCCGTCCCCCCTTAATACTGAACAGAAATTTGAATAGTTCTATTTTTAAGTCTGCGTGAATTAGTTGTCCACCTAAAATGTGAAAAATGCACATCTGCTTACAATAAAAGACATCACAAACCAGCATTACGTCCAACTATATTCATTAAAAGAAACATTCCATCATAAAAAAACCCCACGTAGCTTTAAATAGCCGTCGTTCGTGCCATGCTGGTTAAAGCCAACATTTTCTCCAATTTTATTCCAATTGTGCTATCCGAATCATGTCAATTAGGACAGAATATGGCTCTCTAATAGACTAGTGCAAACGTTCAGTTAGAGAATGGCCCGCAGAAGTGCAGAACACAGAGCTACCTCTGAGACGCCTTTAAGTGACAATTGGTTCATAAAAATAAGGGCGTAGGAATGTTCCAACCACTGTGCAACTGAGAGGAATGTTCGTCACATTCCAGTCAAACCAATATTGTTAAACCTCAGAGCTGGAATGTAACTAAAGCGCAGAACCAACCGTAATGCCATGGGTTGCTTTGTGCAGCCATTGGTGACCTGGTGGAGACCATGAACTCACTACTTACTACACTTGAGAACCTATTTTAACTCCACGAGACTGAAATCTGCATACAAACCCAGGGGTCTCAGCAGGGCTTCCCTGCAAACTGCGGACCACGGTGAATGACATTTGGACATCGCACGGGTGATGCGCTCACCTTTTGTATGAGTGGAAGATAAAATATACTTCCACCTACGACTCTGGAGCAGAACAAACGACTGAGCGCATGGTCAACTGCTCAATGCCCACCAAAACCAATGAATGGCAGCACCAAAGCAATTCACCAGCTGACAGCCTGCACCACTGAATGGCCAATGAACCTAGACGTTCCTTTATGTCACTTCTTGCAATTAACAAAAATCGGTTGCTCACGAAATAGAGAAGAGGGAAGAAGAAGTGGGTCTAAGTGAGCTTTGAAAGAGGGCTTTGAGAGCCTACCTATGGCTAGGGTGAAGTGCGTGTTTGTATTTATGAATGAGCCTCTAAATAAATCATCAGGGGATCCGGCTAAGAGGTGCTGAAGGGTTACCCGTGACGAGGGTGAAGTGCGACGGAGAGGTCATCGTGACGAAGGGCGGCACCATGTATCGCGCCGTGGCCCCGACGGTGCGCAGGTGGTCCAGGTTCGGGGTGTCCACGTCCTCGTCGTAGTCCCAGCGGAATCCGTCGAACGAGACGAGCAGCAGCTTCTGACGCTGCCCTCTGTGCGACGGCAGCGCGCTCGATCCCACGCACGCGACGCAGAGCGCGAGCGCCAGGAGCCGGCGCCCCGATCCTCGCTCTCCTGCCAGCGCCGTCATCGCCCTCGCCCGTACCCAGCAACGTCTCAGATAACCGCAAGGGGAGGAGATCTGTTATTTTCTTTACTCACCTATGCCACAACCGATGCGCTGGATATTTAAGAGCAAAGACTGGGTGCAAAGTCTTCCCATGAGTAGATTTGATAGTCAGCGTTATTTGTCTGGAATTTGATTTAAATACGCTTGCTCATTTATAACGGCCACCCTGCATCGTTTAGCTTCCACCAGGGCAAAGGTTTAAGGTGCAAGGTTTGTGACCTGAGGAGATATGGAGGAATCGGACAGCTGTATAAATGGACAAACACAAGTGGTGTTGATTTGAAAAAAAAATCAATCCAGCTGTGGTGTTGTTCACTCGCGTTTGATATATTATCGTTACTTCAGGCAGCCAAGAAAGTACACACCATTTATCAGAATGGACTCTGTTGTACGCTCCTTACTTGCCTGGTATATTTTCGACAGAGCGCATGGACGGAAAAATGCATTCATTCATGCGAGCGGCAGCAGGGTCCATTCTGATAAGACTCATTTAAACTATCCTGACCATGGTCTTTTCAATCTTTTTCATGATACCAAGTCACGCACATATGGGTTTTTACCTGTTCGAAGGTAACACATTGCGACACAGCACGGTATCTCACCGAGAATGCTTATCGCTTATCAAATGAGATTTGTGCTGGCGTGAAGATATGTGACGTGCTGACATGATATTCAGTTTAATCAGTGCTTCATTTTATTCGCAAAATATTTAGATAATTAATTGGCATGTCACATCCACCTGACATTAAATTGTTCCCACGATACTGTGGTTGTGTGTAGATCAATGCTCTGGATTAAAAGATGTCTTAACGCACAGAGTGTATATTTCTAGAAATATAGGGTACAAATAATATTGGATGTTTATGGAGAGATGTACTCTACTCTTTGGTTCTTTCGGTAAAGTCACGTAGGTATAAAATAAAATAAATCACGACGTTTCGGGCCCTTTAAATCCCCCCGTCTCTCCTCCCTGGCTCCCCCCCCCCCCTCTTACCTATATAGCCTCTTGTTACAGCAGCCCTTTTGCCCACTTCAACAATTGTTTCTTTCTGTGGTTGTCCCACCTGATGACGGACGCTTGTGTTGCGCCCGAAACGTCGTGATTTTATTTCTTTTATTGTATACCTTACATGACTTTACAGAAAAAAAACAAAGAGTATGGATCCCTGCAGCCACGAAAACTTCAATTCTACATTGAGATGTACTCTGTGCACTAGCGGTAGGGCTTTACTGAAATACAGAGTTGAGCCCTTGTACACAGTTGCAGTGGCGAGGTGAGGCCACATGCAACTTAAGGAGAGGTTATAAATGCAACCTCGATTCGCACGGTTGGCTACGTACGGCGCAACATCGGTTTAACATACATACCTGTGTAGCGCCATAGATGGAACGGTGCGTCGTACCGTCAGGGGAGGGGCTGCAGTGCCAGCCCAAGAGGGGAGGGGCTGCTGGGGGCTCAGGATCCCCAGACAGCTAAGCCCCTCGGCGCCCCCAACGGGGGGGTGGGGGGCTGCGGGGGTTCTAGAATCCCTCGCAGCCCCACCCCTCAATGAGCAAGGGGCATTAAAGGGGACCTCCCCAGCCGATTTGGAGCAGTCGCAGCCGAAGAACGAAGACCAGCAGCTAGATAGGACACTGGACCCCCTCGCCCTGCTGTCCTTGTAAGGGCCGGGACGCTGTGCGGGCCAGTAGTGAGACTCTGGGCCAGTGGTGGGACTCTGGGCCAGTGGTGGGACTCTGGGCCAGTGGTGAGACTCTGGGCCAGTGGTGAGTCTCTGGGCCAGTGGTGGGGCTCTGGGCCAGTGGTGGGACTCTGGGCCAGTGGTGGGACTCTGGGCCAGTGGTGGGACTCTGGGCCAGTGGTGGGACTCTGGGCCAGTGATGGGGCTCTGGGTCAGTGGTGGGACTCTGGGCCAGTGGTGAGACTCTGGGCCAGTGGTGGGACTCTGGGCCAGTGATGGGGCTCTGGGCCAGTGGTGGGACTCTGGGCCAGTGATGGGGCTCTGGGCCAGTGTTGGGACTCTGGGCCAGTGGTGGGACTCTGGGCCAGTGGTGAGACTCTGGGCCAGTGGTGGGACTCTGGGCCAGTGGTGGGACTCTGGGCCAGTGATGGGGCTCTGGGCCAGTGGTGGGACTCTGGGCCAGTGGTGGGACTCTGGGACTCCCGGCCCCGCGCCCTTATACGGGCGAGGTCCGAGGAAGCCAGATTCTAGACCCGCACCTTGGCTGGGTGGGGTCAGGGTAGCCTCCCCTAGGGTAATCATAGCGGAGGACCCGAGAGCGTAGCCAGTGTCACGGCACGCGAGGAGTAGGCTGTGTCCCTAGGCTGTAACAGTGTATGAGGAGGACTGTTGGAGTGCTGTATTGTAATATAGAAGTTGCCTATGCAAAGTGTCTCCGAAACCCATTACACATGCATACGAGGGAATACTCGTTTGTCATCTTTGCATTTTAAATTGAATATATCACGACAGAAATGATTATCGATGGGCAAGAATACTAACAGAACGTCAGCCTAGGAATGGAATCCGTCCAAAGAGGATATTCCCAGAAGACATTGAGCGATGGGATCAGTTTGTGTACAGGGCACTAGGCGGGTTGTAACATCTGCAAGATCATGAGCGACGGATTGACCATGGTTGATGATGATGCTATCACAATGGTGCTAATGGCATAAAGAAAAAAGGGCGCTTGAAATGACCTGGAAGTGATTATGCAAGCACTCACTGGACACGCTGTCATGATCCATCATACACCACCGTAGCCACCACACCGCGTAGTCTTGCAGTGTGTAAACTGAGCAGTTATTTTCATGCATTGTAAAGGTGCAGCCCTGCAACCGCTTGCTCGCACTACTGCTGGTGGAAGATTCTCTAGCCCCAATGGAGGGTATTTGGCCTACTCTTCCATGCTAGCCAGACGACTTGGAAGAGGTGGGGGAGTACACTCACCACGGATGTTTTCCGTGGCCAGGAATCAGGTTTGGGCCACTGTGTTCATTGCGCAATGTGCTAACCGCTCTGCCACCGCTCCACCCCCAAGCGCCCTTGACCATATTCAGTTACACCAGCGAGTTGTGCTCTAGAAACTCATAATATAGGTGTTGGGAAAAAATATATATACAATTATAAAAAAAAAATCATTGTACACAGTTGATGTTCACGTGTAAAAGATTTGGAAGACTGCAGTAGTTTTATGTACATATCCGTTTAAAAAAAAAACAACCTTACAATGACAAGCATTTACTTTAAGTCATAGCTGGTAGCAATTGAGGTAGGGATATGCTGTAAGTTGCCCATAGGGAAAGGCTTTGCATCACGAAAGTGGACTTTCTTTGACATGGAAGCGCAGTTAGTGAGCAGCAAGGGAGACATAATTGTGGCATTGAGCAGCCGAGAGATACATCTGCTTTTATGGCATAGTAATATTTTGTATTGGTGCCAAAATAACTTCCATGTCACACTGCGATGCTGCAACTGCAGTTGTCTCGTTGATTTACACAGCATATCTCATCACAGCGTTTCATTAGGGAGAACTGGCCCAACACATTGATGGAGTTTAGGCATTTCCACTGAATTCTCAAAATCAATTTGCCATAAAAACCACCAGCCTGCTCTTGCGTGAGCCCACAACCACACGCTGATAAAACAACACAAAGGTGCAGCCCTTTCTTTGTTTCTCTCATGCTGCTGCTCGCGAAAAAGCTCGAGAAAGCCCATCTAGAGGCCATTGAAGCATTGAGCCAGAGCTGCCAACGTCCTGGGTTTGAACCTGTAATTAAACTATGTTCTAAGGCAAAGGTTCTTAACCTGGGGTGCACGCACCCCCCGGGGGTGCGAGATCCCCTTTCTGGGAGTGCGAGACATGGCCAGATATTTCAGAAGGTACATAATCGAAACACAAATTAAGCACGGACACGTACGTACAACTCCTGTTTCATCTTATTTGGTTCTTTCGGTAAAGTCACGTAGAATGAGAATAAAATAATAAACTAAAATAACACAATAAAATTATCACGAGGTTTCGGCCACAACACAAGTGGCCTTCTCACAGAGCTCTGTCGTCCGGACAGGTTTGTTCCTTTTACCTGAAGGCCACTTCTGTTGTGGCCGAAACGTCGTGAGAATTTTATTGTGTTTGTTTATTATTTTATTATTTTATTCTCATTCTACGTGACTTTACCGAAAGAACCAAATAAGATGAATCCTTGCAGTCACGAAAGCTTTAAATCGAAACTCCTGTTTCATCAAACCTATGTATTTATTAATAAAAAAACAATTTAAGACTGAGAACCAACGGGGTGCAAGGCTGCAATAAAGGTTAAGAATTACTCTTCTTAGGTATTTATGGTCTTACCCTAGTCACCAATGACTGACCAAAAATCCCATCATATAAAATTAGATTTGGCAAAAGCCCTCACATGATAATTATTTTGGCCAGATCCAAGCTCAGAGCATTGCTCAGCAAAAATGTTGCCTTCGGTTGCCATCTGCTGAACATATCGTCCAAAATCATAGAATGGATGAGAGCTCATTTGAAAGGATCTCTGCAGTTCTTGAATATAACCTTCCAAAGGCCAATCTCTAACACGGGGTGATCCACTGCTCTTGTTGTGTTTAGTTGTCCTTCCGCTGCACCTCTGATTTGCCCGCATGGCTGCATACGTGATGCGAATGAAATTCAATATACATATGTAGTGACATAGCGCTGACTGTTGGACAGCAGCAGCAACTGCAGGTGGGCACTTAGCGCACACGCCGCTGAGCATATACGCGGTGTGTGTGCCGGCAGGGCGGAGGAACTGGGGCAAGGGTCACGGTAGACCTCGTGGGGAGGCCCCTGGAATCCTCTGGCGGGTTCGAGAAGGGAGGCGCGGCTAGGGCGGAGCCAAGCCGCGCCGAGGTGAATAAAAGCAGTGGAGAGCGAGAGCTCCGGGCTGCCGGTTCTGGGATTGGACTCGTCTCGTCGTCGCCGTCGATCGCCGCCCTCGTCACCGCCGCCTTCGCCCGGACATTGCGCGGCCGGACAGCGGTTGGCTGTCCCGGTCGATGCCATCGGTGCAACGCGGGCCGGGTCGTGTCGGGGACGGGTTGCGCGGCAGCGGGCCCGAGCGGTGGCGTGAGCTCGGCAACAACAACGATAAAGAGGGCAGAGCGGTGCCTCCTGCAACCACCTCGTCTCCGGCTGACTGTGTGTGTGAGACGCACGCCACCCGCACGCACAGACGACACTACGCATACATGCTTCTCTACAAGAGTTCCAAATTGGCAAGTTGTCTCATGATATGACGTGAAATCCACAAATGGAATAAAATTATGAAAGAATATATACTTTTAACAAACGATTACTTGTATTGTCTGAATGTGAGTAGAATAAGGTGGAAACAGACTAAATAAAAACTGCTGAATCCCATCATCATTACTCTTTGGTGCTTTCGGTAATGTCACGTAGTTATAAATAAAATAAAAATAAATCACGACGTTTCGATTGCAACACAAGCAATCATCATCAGGTGGGAAAACCACAGCAATATTTTTTTGCTGAAGTCGGAGAGAGATGCCGTAGTAAAAGGTTATATAGATAAGAGAAGGGGGAGGGGCAAGGGGGGAGAGAGAAGGTGGGGGGGCATTGCGTGGACGCGAGGAGATGGACTAGAAGCTGGATGGGGGGAAGTGGGCGGGGCTGAAAGTGGGAGGCCGAGAGAGCTGGGGATGCCAATGCAGCAACAACGCCAATGCAGCAATAACGCCAATGTAGCAACAATGCCAATGCAGCAACAATCCCAATGAAGCAGCAATGCCAAACTCTGGCGATGCGGGGGGAAAATTAACTCGGAAAAATAGACTAGTACCCGGCAAACATTATGGAACAACCATAAACAGTTAAGGTTGTAGCTGGTTAATAACATACTTCCAATGGTTGCTCAATTTGTATCCATCTTCTCGGTTGAAGTTATGTCTATGTTTATGTATCTGGATGGCTTCATGAACAAACGTTTGATAGTAGCCAGAAGATTTGCAAAGTACCTTGGTCTCGGAAAAAACAATATCATGCGAGCCCACAGCATTATAACAATGGTCAGCCATGGCAGAGGTATTGGTTCTGCCGTGTTTCAGATCTGCCTTGTGTTCGCGAACACGGTCCGAGACATGTCGTTTCATTTCCCCAATGTAACTACTACCGCAGGTACAACTCAGTTTGTAGACTCCAGGATATTGCATGTCAGGAATGACATGCTTCACAGATGGGATTAGATTACGGATTTTGTGTACTGTATTGAATCGGACCTGGATCTTGTGTTTGTTTAAGATTTGGGAAATATTTTTGGTAACACCTGTTATGTATGGTAACAGGTGTTGTTTCTCCATCGTTGGAGAAACAGCTTTGCGAATTATGCAGTCCGAGTACCCATTCATTTTGAGGGCCTGTTGTACGTGTTCCAGTTTACTGGCTAGGTGGTGTTGGTCGGAAATGCAGTGGGCCCTATGGTGTTGTGTTTTGATGAGGGGATTCTTCTGTGCCGGATCGTGGTGGGAATCAGGTTTCAGATAGGAATCTGTGTGGGTGGCTTTCCTGTAGATAGAGTGTCCCAACGAGCCGTCAGGTCTCTTCTCAAACAAAACATCCAGGAATGGTAGCTTACCATCCTTCTCCACTTCCATGGTGAAATTGATGGATTGGTGTATGGAATTGATGTGGTTGAGAAATTGGTCCAATGCTGGCAGGCCATGTGGCCAAATGACGAAAGTGTCATCTACATATCTCTTCCATAAGGAAGGACGTAGGGTGGATGTCTGGATGGCATCTGTTTCAAGTTTCTCCATTTTCTCCATCGTTGTGCTCTAGTCTTCCTTCAAAAGCCATGGGCAACTGCTGAATTGCTCAGGACAAATTACAAAAAAATGTGCTTCACGACCAGGATTTTAATTACCATGAATCAACATAACCTTGCTCCTAGCAATCCAGTATGAAAATGCAAACGGATCACTCACTTAACACTTTTCAAAAATGATCATTCAGATATGTCGTTTAATACATTTGACTTTGGGGGTAGATTTATACGAAAAAAGTTTATCAGAACCATGAGAACATTGAAGGCAGATAGATAGATACATAATTATATTTCATACTTAAACGTGTGAATAGAAGGCCCTGATGTTGGGCCCTTAACATGAATGTCAACCATCGAGTCTCAATCCCACTGAAGACACACATGCTGCTACATCCATGTGTTATGTGCCATCGTGGTCTTGTGCTTAGGCCTGTAAAATAAAAAAAAATGCAATGTAATATTTGAGTACAGTATCGACAAAGCCACACGTTATTGAATATAGCTTTAAAATACAACAACACACATTGATAAATTAAAGTGCTGTGTATGCAAGACATGCTTTGGTTTATAAACAAACTCCCCCCCCCCCACCCTTTTCATTGACTACGTATATTTTACTATATTTAAACCACTTTAATACGGTATATGAATTAGGCGAAGATTGCTGGGCTGTCACCAGCATTCTAAATGTAGGTGTTTCCTTAAAGTCACTTGGTTCAAGTGATTTCGACCTCACAAAAACACAGATGTTTTGCATTTGCAACGTAACTTGAAATCACAACATTCCTGAGTCAATTAATCGCTGAAGCATTCTAATCAACATTTTTTTTCCTCTGGTTCATTACTGGGGATTCATGTTTAGAGTGGCGGCCACCACTGTCATCACCTTGCCTCCCGAAGGCGGGAAACCCCAGAACAAACAAACCACGCCCCTCACTTGGCTCGGCTGATGACGTCAATAACATAATCAAGACCCCGCCCTTAATTTCCCGTCCAACGGCACACGTGGGAACAAGAGGCGAGATTTTAAAAAAAAAATCCCAAAACTATGTTTGTTGCATGATTTGTAGAGTAAGCAAACCGATAATCGGTGGAGTAAAAAAAACCTCGCATCAATAGCCCATCTCTGCGTTCAACAAGGATGCCATGCATGACTATCAAACTTAAAGTGCTTACGCTTTAGTGGCTCTCTTCCAGGCTGAGTAGGCCACCATTGCGACTAACGTGACAAAGAGGATGACGATGATGACGAGCAAAGCGATCAGTCCCTCCTTGAGTCCGGGAGTTGTGGATCCCGAGTCTATAAAAGTCCAAAACACACACACACACATGGGTGAGGTAGTCAGTGGGTCGGGTCAGATAGGCAGTGGGTCAGGTCAGGTCGTCAGTGGGTCGGTTCCAGTAGGCAGTGGCCGGGTTGGGGTGCGGGTCATAAATATAAACTCTGCGCAGGACTCGACAGTTGTTAGCTCACTGCGCCTGGCTCCAAGCTGCTTAGCTGTTGAGATCTTATGAGATTTGCCAAATTGCAGGTGTCACGGCCATAGGGAGATAAGAGTATATTTTAGCGCTGATTTTTTTTTCCCAGTCATTGGTAGACTGGAGCGGGCATTTGACGAGTAAGCCACAACCATATCGAGAGGTAACACTGGTACAATGCACTGGTTACAATGCAACCTCCTCGGTCACTGACCCAGACAGACTCCCATCTACAGGTAGTGTCATCCTCAAAACTGAGGGTTGATGTCCATGACAGTTTTTTTGCTGATCTTTGTGTTTAGTTTGTTGTCCTTCCCCCACACCTCCGATTAGCACGGTTGATTACGTATGGTGAGAAAGAAGTTCAACATACATACATTTATACATACGTGCATAATACAAGTTTTCTTTGGTTAGATCACTTATGGTTAAACCCGCCACCACCCGACACAGCCAATTAGTAAGGTTTGTCACGTAAACAAAACGTGACAATTAGTGACTACTTCAGCACACCGTTGTGTTGTTGGTGAGTAAACCCACAACATTTACACGCCGAGCACGACGTTCATATTCACGCGATCTAATCCAACAAAAAAAGCGTTTATTACGTATAATATCGGTCGCGAAAGCCGACGTGTTCAACATACACAGGCAAGTCGTCGGACGATCAGCAATGGGATGGTGGACGTACCCTCCGAGCCACCGCCGCCGTCACCGACCGAGTCGGCGAGCATGTCCCGGGTGAAGGCAAGGGAGCCGTTGTGCGGCTCGGGCTGCACCCCGAGCAGCTCGCACATGAGCGCGTACACGTGCACGCTGGCGAACGGCTCCGCCGCGTAGCCCCGGCGGAAGCGAGGCCCGAAGGCGCGGAAGATGGTCCTCATGCCGGGCACCTCGTTGTCGTAGCCGTGGTCGCCCTTGTTGAACTGGAATATCATCCTCTGTCCGGGGGGAGGGGGAACGGACGGTGTGAAACCACACGAACGCGAGGCGCGTTAAAGTAGCTAACATGCGGTCTCACTGGCTCCATCTGGGCTGGGTCCAAAAAAACAAATGGGCCGGTGAGGAAGAATCTTTGGGGATGCCGAACATGGGACTTAATGCCAACTGAGAGCATAAATAAGCAATGTGTACGCATAAGAGGTACTAAAATATTTGTCTTGTCAGATGCGTAACAATAACAATCATCTTCTTGGTTCTTTCGGTAAAGTCACTACATAGATGGACTCGTCCATCTGAGCAACTGCCAAATCGCTCTCCGTGGTGCTAACGTTAAAAAAACGCCACTTTTTTCAAATTTTCTTGCTGTGGTTTTCACACCTGATGATGATTGCTTGTGTTGCAGTCGAAACGTCGTGATAATTTTATTGTTTTATGTTTTTTTTTATTGTGACTTTACCGAAAGAACCAAGAATATGAATCCCTGCAGTCACGAAAACTTTAAATAAAAAAAATAACAATCATCGTTCGCCACCTAAGTCACGGTCATGTCTCCAAGGCGCTTGTGCCAGGCTAGGTACACCTTGAGGCCAAGTAAAGTGTCAATGGCTTTCTGGCAGGAGGTCACGGGGCAGACCCATGTGTTATGAGTTGACTGAGATGACCGTGGCTCCCCACTGTGGCAACATACTAACGTATTGTGTTTAGCTGCCTGCAATTGGGATCGTTGCTGTGAGCATGAAGGGGGGGGGAGGGGGGAACAGGGGAAGGGGGAGTTTGGTCTCCTGGCTCCACCAATTGGGGTTTAGCTAGAAAATAAAGATACCTGTCCCGCCATACTGTGTAACAATACACCACTCAAGACAAACATATTTATGTGTGGTTAACCCCTCTCCGGAGATTGAGACATTCTACTTCCCATGATGTGTTTTTATTGTACTCCAAAGGCGGCATCCCTGGCGTGTGGTAAGTTAAAGTGTAAATCGCGTGCAGAAAGTGTTTGGACATGGGTGTCAAGGCCCAGAGGCTAATATGACATTGTGGAGCGCGTAGATTTTAAATTACACACTAATACTGTCATGACTTTTGCTACGTGACGTAAACTCCAGCAAATCCTCTGCTGTGCTGTAATTTCTACGTTCTGAATGTCAATATCCTCACCTTCACCAAACCGCAATGACCAGTGTGGTAAAGTATGGCCAAATCAACCATCCCCGACCCACACGCAGTGGGGAGGAGACCTTGATCCAGCAGTGGATTGAAAAAAACATGTCTGTACAGGCAGAGGTGTACAATGATGTTTATCGTGGTGTGAATACTCAACTCCATTGACCACGTAGCCAGGGTCTCCGTACACCAAGATGGGCAGGATGCGCTCGTGGTTGCGGTAGTGAAAGCGCTCTGGGAACTCTTCCTTCTTATAAACGTGCAGGTGCGGGTGGGCACCCTTCAGGGCCTGGTACACTTCCTCCTCCTTCCCTTCCTTGGGCAGAAGCATACCGGACGGTCCGTAGTCCACCAGGTCAAACTTGAGGTCTTCCTTGAAGTCGATGAATTTTGACAGCACAATTTCATCGATGTCCGGAGCTTTCCGAGTGGTGATCATGCCGTGGTCCGAGGTGATGATGACATTGAGGGTGTCCTTCAGTCCCCTCTTCTCGATGGCATCGACCAGGAAGCCGATGGTCTCGTCCACTTGCCGCACCATCGCCCGCCGCTCTTCCGTCTCCGGTCCAGATAAGTGACCGGTTAAGTCCGGCTCGCCGTAGTACAGGGCCACAAACTCCAGGCCGTCATTGACGAACCAGTCCATGACGACTCCAATGTTGATACGCCACTCGGTCACGTTGTTGTACTGGTGATCAGTTTCTTCCGCCACGGATTTGAACGGTGTCTGGCCAGAGTAATTGACAGCTCCGCCGGGGAAGTGCAGCGATCCTGTCTTCAGACCCTGCATGGGAACCACGAGAAGAAAACTCTTCACGGCATGCCACTACGCATGTATATTTGTTGAACTTCTTTCGCACCGTACATAGCCAACCATTAAAGGGCAGTCTCCAAATATCTCAGTCAATATCTGTACGTGACTTAAAGCTTTCGTGACTGCAGGAATTCATGTTCTTTGGGTCTTTCAGTAAAGTCACGTAGATAGGTTCAAAGAAAATAACAAAAATAACAAAAACTACGACGTTTCGATCGCAACGATTGTTTGCGTTGTGATCGAAACGTCGTAGTTTTTTGTTATTTTTGTTATTTTCTTTGAACCTATCTACGTGACTTTACCAAAAGGCCCAAATAATATAATATCTGTACTCTTTAAGGAGAATTCACTAAAACAACTATTTATTTATTTATTTATCTGTTACAAGACAGTGTTAATTACAAACATAATGAGAACCTTGTTTCTGATAGTTACCAGCTGGTACAGGTTTCAAGTGTAAGGATACTTATCTGACTTGCGCGATAAGCAGGATCGTACGTGATCTTTATTGCACAGTTTTATGAGTTCACTATAAAATTTAGATCAAAGGCCTTTCGAGTCTGTTTTTCATGCTCATGTTTATAAGTTTACTCACAATCTAAGCGATCTGCCTGAACAATTCTCAACACATAAAGCAAGAGGACAAAAAGCAGGAACTTAATCCTGGACTTGAACAGCGGCAGGGAGTCGATAGCAGGGGATGCTGGAGAGGTAAGGATTTTCAGTCAGTGGGGGCAGCAGAGGAGAATGAGCGACCACCCTCTGAGCAAACGTTGACTTGGTGGCTTTGAAAGAACGCAAATTAAAGCGTCCACGAACTACAGAGTTTGCTGATTGGGTTCTCAAGAGCGTTAAAGGCAAAGATACCTGGTTCTGAGCCGTGATCCAGATGGGAAGGGTTTGGTTCCACCACTCGGAACGCAGTGTTGTCTTCTGAAAATTGGCTTTTTCTCCAGTCTCCGGATTGAACAGCATGTTGTGAATGACGCCGTGAGACTCCGGGTGTCTCCCTTACGCACGCACAGACCAAGGTGTGAAAGTTTAAATAAATTGGGATTTTTGCTTTTAAATGACCGTCCATCATTTTGGTTCCCGTTTCGCCCCTTTTTTGGGTAGAGTTGTGAAACACAGCGATTTGAGATTGATTCCCAGCGAGATCAGCAATGGTCCTGAGTGCCATGCTGACAATGAGGGTGAAGAATATTAGAAACAACTCTCCCGTAACTGACATGGCAATGTGGGAGGCCTTCATTCGGCCTCTAGACCAAAGGTTGAAGTTGTTTTATTATTATTAGGACCCTTGTAAGGCATGTAGTAGGATTAAGCTATCGCCCGGTTAAAATATGACATAGCGTTCTTAATTTCATCAATAAAATAACATTTGTCATATGAATTAGGAAATGATAGGCGAGCATTTTAAATCAGTAAAGCAACGTTTTTATTCTGTTTATATTCCATCTGTCTTTTCATGACGTATATATCTACAAAAAGAGACATTTATTTTAAAATCTCAACAAAGCAATGTACCCTTGGCAAATAACACAATATCTTATTGAAAATAAACCATTTGGCTCTGCCTAAACAGTGCTTAGCCGTACCAGTGACGAGGGTGAAGTGAGACGGAGAGGTTATCGTGACGAAGGGCGGCACCATGTATCGCGCCGCGACCCCGACGGTGCGCAGGTGGTCCAGGTTCGGGGTGTCCACGTCCTCGTCGTAGTCCCAGCGGAATCCGTCGAACGAGACGAGCAGCAGCTTCTGCCGCTGCCCTCTGTGCGACGGCAGCGCGCTCGATCCCACGCACGCGACGCAGAGCGCGAGCGCCAGGAGCCGGCGCCCCGATCCCCGCTCTCCTGCCAGCGCCGTCGTCATCCTCGAGAGGCTTGGAGGTTCTTCTTCTTCTTCCGAGGAAACTGTTCAAGTGGGAATGTTTCTTTTGTCTGCACGCCACTGCCCTTTTGACACATATGCAATGGTTAATGGCAGGTGCAAAGTCTCACTCATAGATAACAGAGGTATGCCGTGTTCTTAAGGAAAACAATGGCTCAGATATTCTTAGTTTTTTCGGTAAAGTCACGTTGAAGAGAAACAACAAAATAACAAAATATATATATAAAACAATAAAAAATTCTCACGACGTTTCGACCATAACTCAAACGGTCATCATCAGGTGTGTTGGTTTGCATACATTTAATTTTAAACGGCGCATTTATTTATTTATAAAAACGTTGGCGTCACGCGCAGCGATTTGGCAGTTTGCCCAGGACTAGTCCATCTATTTTTTTGAAAAGAGGAGGGGGGAGACGAAATTTTTTATAATGTATGCTGTCTGAAAGCCACTGTAAGCGTGAACAATCAATCAAGAACTGAAATGATTTATCAAATCTTTCCAATGATTGCTAAGATAGAATCCATCTTCTCGGTTGAAATTGTCTCTGTGCTTGTATATGTGGATAGCCTCATGAACGAATCTCTCATGGAAGCCAGATGGCTTACAAAGAACCTCCGTCTTGGAAAAGTCAATGGCATGTGAGCCTACTGAATTAGAACAATGATCTGCTACGGCCGAGGTGTTGGTCCTACCGTGTTTAAGGTCTGCTTTATGTTCACGAATGCGGTCCGAGACATGGCGTTTGGTTTCTCCAATGTAACTACTACCACAGAGGCAACTTAGTTTGTAGACACCAGGGTATTGTATGTCCGGAATCACATCTTTTACAGACGGAACCAGATCACGGATTTTATGTAATGTGTTGAAACGGACCTGGATCTTGTGTTTATTCAAGATTTTGGAGATCTTTTTTGTGATCCCAGCTATGTAGGGTAAAGTGATGGTTTTGAAAGGCTCCTCAAGAGGGTTCTTCTTCATGGTTTGAGTGATAGCTTTGCGGATTCTATAGTCGGAGTAACCATTAGCCCTAAGAGCTTGGTGTACGTGCTTGAGTTCACTGCTTATGTGTTCCTGGTCGGATATGCATTGGGCTCTATGATACAGAGTCTTGATGAGATAATTCTTCTGTGATGGATGGTGGTGGGAATCCGGTTTCAGATAAGCATCCGTATGGGTAGCTTTCCTGTAGACAGAGTGGCTCATTGAACCATCAGGTCTCTTTTTAATTAGGACATCCAAAAAAGGTATCTTGCCATCTATTTCGACTTCCATGGTAAATCTGATGGCTGGGTGTATGGAATTGATGTGGTCGAAGAATTGGTCTAGAGCAGGCCGGCCATGTGGCCAGATGACAAAAGTGTCATCCACGTACCTCTTCCATAAGGTTGGGCGCAGAGTGGCAGTCTGGATGGCGTCAGTCTCAAATTTCTCCATGAAAATGTTAGCTATAACTGGAGAAAGGGGGGAGCCCATTGGGGTGCCCTCAGTTTGTTTGTAGAAAGTTCCATTCCAAGTGAAGTAAATAAATGTGCCGTTTAAAAATAAATTTATGCAAACCAACACACCTGATGATGACCGTTTGAGTTATGGTCGAAACGTCGTGAGAATTTTTTATTGTTTCATATATATTTTGTTATTTTGTTGTTTCTCTTCAACGTGACTTTACCGAAAAAACTAAGAATATGAATTACTGCAGTCAGGAAAGCTTTAAATCAAAATTTAATCGCCTCTACGGGGAGGGTTTTCACGTAACTTTAAGATCCTTCAACAAACTCCGGGATAAGAAAGCTCAGCTGATCGAGACTCTCACCTTCCTGAAGAGATGCCGCGACTCTGGGGTAATACCAATCGCATTTACACTGACCTCTGCTGCTGTATCTTCTTCTAATGCGAAACGAATTATTTTCAAAACTAGCTTAGCTCTTATCTCAGAAAAAATCAGACTTATACGCACAGAACTAGATCAGTTAGACAAGACACTCTACAAATCACACTTATCATTGACGGCAATAATGTCCACATAGGATTGGGAACATGTAGACAATATGACTGCCTCTTCAGCTGCTACTATGTCGACCAAATGTAAGGAAAACCTGATTTCCAAATTTAACCTCCTCTTCAACAAAAGACCGGACCCACACACCAAAAAGTTAGACGTTAATAAAGTCGTAATTAATCGCAGTAACAGTTCTATTTCCGATGGTCTGAAATCCGTTTTAGCTAAAGGTCTAAACTTTGCAGTCACACCTAAACACATACCAGTTAATGATATAATTGCCCAAGTAGACGTTGCTCTCAGGGGCCTGGGTCACATCGCTGCAGACGTAGCAAGATCTGAAATCGCTGCAACCCTCAAAAACGCTAAGATGCCAGCTAGCAACCTCAGCAAAGATGAGCGTTTTGAATTATACAAATTAAAAAAGAGGAATGATATTGTAGTTCTCTCAGCTGACAAAGGCAATGCTACTGTCATCATGGATAAAATAGAATATAACAACAAAATTAAAGAATTACTCGACGATGGTAGTTATACAAAAATAAAAAGAGATCCCACCAACAGCCTCCTCACACAAACCAACAAAATAATTTCTGATTCAACCGCATTAATTGATCAATCTAAACAGTTTTCGTTGAAACCTTCTGCTGCCAGGCCACCAAGATTATACGGCTTACCAAAAATACATAAAGTTGATACACCTCTTCGTCCCATAGTCTCTACTATCAGCTCCCCCACCTACAAACTAGCTCGTTTTTTGTCTGAAATCCTGCGTCCTTTCACTGGAAAGACCACCTCTGCGGTACAAAATTCTACTCACCTGGTATCAACAATCAAGGGTATTTCCCTGTCCCCAGACGACCTGCTTGTCAGTTTTGATGTAGTTTCCTTATTCACCAAGGTTCCTGTACCTGACACCATTGCAATCATTGAAGACTTGGTTCATCAAGGACTAAACACTGAGGTACCCCCCCTGGTGAGACACTGTTTAACCAATACATACTTCACTTGGAATGGAACTTTCTACAAACAAACTGAGGGCACCCCAATGGGCTCCCCCCTTTCTCCAGTTATAGCTAACATTTTCATGGAGAAATTTGAGACTGACGCCATCCAGACTGCCACTCTGCGCCCAACCTTATGGAAGAGGTACGTGGATGACACTTTTGTCATCTGGCCACATGGCCGGCCTGCTCTAGACCAATTCTTCGACCACATCAATTCCATACACCCAGCCATCAGATTTACCATGGAAGTCGAAATAGATGGCAAGATACCTTTTTTGGATGTCCTAATTAAAAAGAGACCTGATGGTTCAATGAGCCACTCTGTCTACAGGAAAGCTACCCATACGGATGCTTATCTGAAACCGGATTCCCACCACCATCCATCACAGAAGAATTCTCTCATCAAGACTGTGTATCATAGAGCCCAATGCATATCCGACCAGGAACACATAAGCAGTGAACTCAAGCACGTACACCAAGCTCTTAGGGCTAATGGTTACTCCGACTATACAATCCGCAAAGCTATCACTCAAACCATGAAGAAGAACCCTCTTGAGGAGCCTTTCAAAACCATCACTTTACCCTACATTGCTGGGATCACAAAAAAGACCTCCAAAATCTTGAATAAACACAAGATCCAGGTCCGTTTCAACACATTACATAAAATCCGTGATCTGGTTCCGTCTGTAAAAGATGTGATTCCGGACATACAATACCCTGGTGTCTACAAACTAAGTTGCCTCTGTGGTAGTAGTTACATTGGAGAAACCAAACGCCATGTCTCGGACCGCATTCGTGAACATAAAGCAGACCTTAAACACGGTAGGACCAACACCTCGGCCGTAGCAGATCATTGTTCTAATTCAGTAGGCTCACATGCCATTGACTTTTCCAAGACGGAGGTTCTTTGTAAGCCATCTGGCTTCCATGAGAGATTCGTTCATGAGGCTATCCACATATACAAGCACAGAGACAATTTCAACCGAGAAGATGGATTCTATCTTAGCAATCATTGGAAAGATTTGATAAATCATTTCAGTTCTTGATTGATTGTTCACGCTTACAGTGGCTTTCAGACAGCATACATTATACAAAATTTCGTCTCCCCCCTCCTCTTTAAAAAAAAAATAGATGGACTAGTCCTGGGCAAACTGCCAAATCGCTGCGCGTGACGCCAACGTTTTTTTATAAATAAATAAATGTGCCGTTTAAAAATAAATTTATGCAAACCAACACACCTGATGATGACCGTTTGAGTTATGGTCGAAACGTCGTGAGAATTTTTTATTGTTTTATATATATTTTGTTATTTTGTTGTTTCTCTTCAACGTGACTTTACCGAAAAAACTAAGAATATGAATTACTGCAGTCACGAAAGCTTTAAATCAAAATGGCTCAGATGTTATGATTATCGTCAACATGCCCGCGATCTTATTCTGTTTCTGCCATAGGAATGCCAGACTGGGAGTCAGTGTAGATGAGCAGATCCCAAATGCTTCGTTGGGCATGGAAATGCGTTTGGCTCTAAGCGGTACATCAAGTTTGAGTGCAGAAGCCCCGGGCTGATGAGACGTATGACATTTGGCAGGCGTTGATGAGGCATGTGAATGAGCACCTGCGCCGGTGTGGATAACACAGCCGCCGTATCATCCTCGCGAGCCATCAGTTCGATGGCAATGGGAGGCCTTCGTTCAGCCTGTGGGCCAATCTGCACGTGAACGACCTAACCCCGAATGCAATGAGCCTGGCTGCTGTTTTTCACGAGTGTCCATGCCAATAGTTGTTGTTGTTGTTGTTGTTTGACTTGCATCCCACTGGGATTTTTGCACACAGCGTTGGTGTACGGTGCTATTTCAGGAATATTTTGATGTTTTTTTTTTCCTGGATTTTCTGTTTGCACATGCACGAAGTCACTTTAAGATGTTTTCTTGTTCGTGTTTTAGTTTTTTTGTTTGTTGCGGTTGCACTCGATTCAAGAGCCGAATGGCTCACAGGGCTATACCAAAAAAATGAAACTATGAATAGTGTTTGGTTCACGGGCGTGACAACACCTGAAAGACCACCGATATAATATGTGGAGCAAGCTCGTGCTCCTCCCCCCACGGTTTATATAAGACAGCAGCTCCACAACAACCTGCCCTGCGCTATTCTTGGCATAAGGCGTAGCCCACATGGGTTTCGCTAAAGAAAAACACTTTGCACTGGCTTCTCACCAAATCAAGGACACGGTACTATATATTATCACTGTTTTTAGTGGTTGCTTGGAGTGCAAATGCCCTGCTGTTTTAAACATCTACATCTGCAACGTTCTCCACCCTTACATCCCAGCCGACTTTCTCCACACCACGGACTCTGGCCTGCTCCTTGGCCCCACCAGCCACAGCTCGGCTATTGTTGGCCGCCCTATCAGTCACTACGCTCTCACACTCTGGAATTTCCTTACCCGGGGCCACCTGGCCCTGGCACCTTCCCCCCGTCTCCGCATTCAAGTCTCTGCTCAAAGCTGCCCCTTGTAAACCGTGCTTTCGGGCCACCCACGTGAATTTTCTCTTCATTCCTTGTTCAGTCCCTCCCATTCCCTTCCGTTTTACTTCCGTGTGTTTCTACGTTCCGAGACGGTCGTGAATGGGTGCGTTTACCATTAACTTCGTTGTAGGATGACTAGGGATCAGATGACCCAATTCCAGAGCTGGTAATACACATGATTGTGACACCTTTATTTTCAAATAGATATATCATTTCATTTGATGTGCATTTCCTCAAACATCTACATTATGTCAAGTTGTGTTATCCTAAATATTCCATTCGTTGCGCCTTGCCACAAAGCAATACAATATTGTTTGGTAACACATTGCAATGTGAAGGATCGAGATATGTTTTATTTATTTCGGCAGGAAGGGACCAATACTCTGTTGGGCTCTTAATTTCATGGGCGTCCTGCGACCGTGCAGATGTTTAAAAGTAAAGATATTCGTTACAATCGTGGTTACTTTGGTTGTGATACAAACAGAAAGTCCTGCTACATGCTTCGTATGTTACAGGAATATGGAACCGGTTAAAACATTTTAAAAATACAAAGCATGGCTGCATTCTTTTAAGAACAAAAATGAAGGGGAACAATTTTAAGTGATTCGGGAATTAAGTGACAGGGTCATTTCATGTTCTAACACAACCATTAAATTCTCATCTTCATCACATGAGGGTTGTACGCAATTCTCAGAGCTGGAATTGAACTAAATTAAGTGAAAACCCAAAATAAGTATTATGAGGTGATTTAAAAAAGGATGTCTGTCTGTATTTTAACACAGGATCATTGTGCTATATTGTATCTTGAGATCGCATCGTGAAGCTGGACCGTGGCGTCTTGTGATTGCTGCAGCTTGCTCCATTGGAGAACGTTGCCCCACGTCTGCTAACGTGGTTAAGACATTCAGACTGAGTACGAACGTCGCCTTACCATAAAAAACACCATTCCATAATGCAGAAGCGTGTCCGTTTGCATAAACGAGTTTCTATTTGCACGTAAAATTGCAAACGAATAAATCCTAAAAGAACAGGGCTCAGTGTACAACTGCCTTGTTGAAGATTCAAGAGATCATGCAGTACCCTAGTCCTGTTAGGTGGGTACAGTTATTACATATGAACGTGGTAGTATCAAAATGTTTTGCAGCAAAGCGAGATTTGAATGATTTGTGTTGAGATGCATTTAAAAAGATGTACATAACTTTAAAAAAGTGACAATACACATCGTTACGGTATGACCCGCGCCAATTTTAATTGTCGTTAATTTGATGAGAAACTTACAGTGCGGTATCTGCATTTCCTATTATATTCGAAGACAAACATTGGCTGGCTTTCTTCCTACGCCTGGATTCCTGTCTGTCTGGCTGACTAGCACTCAAGTGCACGTGCGCGGTAGTGACGCCACCGCGCGTGATAACGCCACCCGCAATTCCACAGTCGTGCGTAGGATCTGTGCGCTCTGACGTCACGCCCCCCCCCACTCCCACATGTATGTTGAACTTCTTTCGCACCGTACGTAGCCAATCGTGCTAATCGGAGGTGCGGGGAAGGACAACAAACCAAACACAAAAAGCAGTTTACCGAAAGAACCAAGAATACAAAAAAACATCTTCTTTAGTTATTTCGGTAAAGTCACGTAGAATGAGAATAAAATAATAAAATAACACAATAAAATTCTCACGACGTTTCGAAAGAACCAAAGAAGATGAATCCTTGCAGTCACGAAAGCTTTAAATCGAAAAATACAAAAAAAGCAGTTCTAAAGAAATGAGTTTTCATTCCGGTGGCTTTCCTGTGCAAATGCGACGAAGCAGAGAGTGGAGGGAAATTAGGAAGGCAGAGGGAGGGAGGGAGAAAGAAAGAACCGGGGAGCAACTGAGAGAGTTAGCAGAGAGTGAAAGGGCGTGCATTGGAGAGGAAGAGTGCGGAGTGCAAAGGGAAAAACGGACAGAGGAGAGCGACGGAAAGCGCTCATCAGTAGGTGGGAGGATCAAGGAGAGGCAAGAGAGGACGAGACGGGTAAGGGAGAGGTGGGAACAAAGAAAGTGAGGATGAGGGGTGCGAAAATCAGGGATAGGTGGGAAGTGGTGCGGGATACAGTGTTAGGAAAGAGAGCAATGCAGAGGGAGGGAGAGGGCAGAAGGGGAGACAGAGAAATAAACAAAGGCAAAGTCAGAAATTGAGATAAATTGCGATATACATTGCAGAGAAGGCACAAGAAAGGTGGAGAGAAAGGGCTCGATATAAGAGTAAACGTTTTGCTGGCTGGCTGGGAGCGACGAGCAGACGGTCGCATCCAAAGGACGTGCGAGTTGGTCGTTAACTATTAAATACAGATCTTGTTAATTACTGCGAACATCATCTGTTAGTTATCTCCTGCAATGAAGCAACGTTAAGATATCCAAACGCGGATTCCTGGGTTCGTCTGCGTGTTGAACATTTCAGTTGAAAACAAAACATAATTTAAACTGCTCAAGTTACCCGCAGCTGTGTGTGACGAAAGCTTGAGAGGGGAAATTCTCAACACGAAGCAAACCCCAGAAAACAGCACTTGAATAATATGGAGTTTTGAAATGGTATGTGTTAAACTAAGATTAAGATGCATTAAATATTTAATATGGATTTCATTTAAAAAATTCTGAACTGAAAATCTCAAGATTTAAAAGCAAAATTACTTTTCAACTTCAATGAGTCCATTTGATAAATTCAGCTCGAAGCGAGGATCTGGAGCGAAGCTTCCACAAACTAATGACTGACTGTACATCCGTCCTTAAGATCAGAAAATCAATTTACCTCCCTACGTGAAGGTTAATGTATTGAATAAGAAGCTATGTTTGTAATGCTTAAAATGTGTGCAATTACTGCTCAATCATTTCAATACACGTGACATCTGTGTATCATGTACGTCCATCGCGATCTTGGGTTGAGGCCTGTAAAGAAACATAAAAAAAAACATTACTTTAGTAATGAACCTATTGCACATTGCACTGTCAGCTTCATCATTATATATCCCACCACATTGTTAATGCACGCACAGACTGATCAATAGAGGCTACAAACACCAGGAGTTGCTCGGTCGTTGCCATTATACTGTGTCATCTCTTCATTCAGGCCTTCTTGATCGCTGGACCAGGAAATTTAAAGTGAGGATCAAGAGGCCCCTTTTGTTTTTTTCCTGTCTTCAGACTCTGGTTCGGAGTCAGGAATTGCGTTGAGTGCCAATTGTATCTCAAAAACGTTGTAGAAATAGGACGACACGTGCATCTAAAGAGTTGTTAATAAGACGTTGTTTTGGAGCAATGAATGAAGAGTGGAATGCTACAGACTGGAAGGGAAATGAGACGATATTATGACAGACGCATAGAGACAGTCAGCCATCTGCAGAAGAGATGAGGGAAGCCTTGAGCCTGTACTTGAACAAGTGAAGGTTCACAGCCTTTGATGATTATTCCAGACAATGAGAGCAGCAGCAGCAGCAGAGAAGGAGCCATCCTCTCATCAAGCGGAGGATGATGAAGGGATATGATTGATTCCCTTGGTTTTTCAGGGCCAACCACGACGTTGTTTGAGGCCCAGAGCAGAATCCCACATTGGGGCCCTCTTAATCCACCACGTCCAAACCTACATCCCAACTACTCACGAATATAATACTTGAAATTGATTCTCAACACATTTAGAATGTCACTCCCCGTATACCTTGCACACACTGCTCACTAATTGCAAGGCGTATACTTACTTTGCAGTGGTTGCTTCCTGGGTGGCATGGGCTACTGCCACAGTGAAGACGAGAACAGAACCGTGGTGATTGCGAGCAGGCCGATTAATCCTTTTGCCAAGCCAGGGGTCAGACGGTTGGAGGATCCAAGGTCATCTGTCAACAGCAACACACGAGTTGATTATTTATGAGACTCCTCTGACCGTATTGAGACGTGTCTACGTTGTCAGGAAAACTCGCTGAGTCCTTCAAACACATCGCAAACATTTGAAAGATTTTCACAAATGCGCACTTTGCATATTTCACGAATATTCACACGGTGCCATTCATGAAACAAAAACGTGGAGTGGCCACGATTGACTCCGCCTGGCTCCTGAGTGACGAGTTGGAGTACCGTAATGGAAGGTGCCAGAAGGTGGGCTCAGCCGAGAGGGTTGCCGCTTACTCTTGGTCGTTTGTTGCTATTTTATGTTGAGAGTTGGCCTGGGGTTTTGCGTTCGTTCTTCCCGCATGGCCCTAATTGCTTTATACGTTGAACATACATCGTGAGTTTAAGCAAAGTTTTACCAAACAGGGCCTTAATAGGACTCTTTCGTGTGGCGGTGACTCTGCCCGGCGCTCACCAAGCTGCAGAAGCTGCAGTAGACAAAATGCAGGACAAGGTAGACGCGGCAACCGGAGTTGCCCCTTCACGTCAATAATTATCTTCAAGTCTCTGCATCTCAAGACTGGAGCATGTGGGATACCCGCAACTGCCTGGCGCGAGGAATGGAGACGCGTAGACCTCATCAGTGATCCATCCGTCCAGATGCCTAGCTTTGACCTCCTAAGGCACCAGTGGGGTTCAGGTGAACCGCTTTCCGGTGTGACCAGGACAGGGAGCGTGTGTGTGTGCCCGCTTGCGAACATCGATGGGGCATCGTACTACTTACATACGTGGACAGCCCGCCGTGTGAATGCGGGGAGTAGTGATACCGTGACGCACTATCGTCTCTGGTCGCGGTACTGGGTGCTGCCCTGCACATGCTGGAGGAGGAGGCCTTCAAATGGCTATGTGGCTACGTGGGCTGACGCCCACTCACACTATACCATTGACATACTAAGTATGTATTCATTTAATTACATGTTTTTTTCTTGTGTATCTGGTACTCTGCCTGGAAAGTCACGTGTAAAAGCATTCGCTGACTAAACATCCGGCGCTGGACACTTTGGGACTTTTCGTCGATCAAGAGTGTGTATGTGCGCCAAGCTACCCTGCACACAGGTTGCACATGTCATCGGGTGGGCCCCGGGTGTACATTTACAAATTTGCGGCCCATCGGTCATCCACTGCTAGATGAAGGCCTCTCCACACCACGTTGATCGTGAGGGTCGCTTAACCAGACTGTCCACCGCACTGGTGGCCGCAGGAGCGGTTAACACTGGTTCTAGCCCTGGCAGGGAATTTGATTGAGACCACGTGGGCTCACAGAGAAGTCCGCACGCGTCACCATGCCACCACTTCACCCCAGTACTGATGTAGAGGATGTTCGGGACATCCTCACACACAAACACCACACAACCACGGGTTAATGGTAGCGGGGGCGCTGTCGTCTCCGACACGCAATTCGATTATTGAGTGGAGGACACTCCCCTGGGATTGGCCCCAGAAGGATTAACAGAGTGGGGAAAACCCGAGAAGGGAATGAGTGTGAAAAAAGGGCGGGAGACGGGCTATATAAGGGAGAGGAGTTGGAGGGTTCGAGGTTGGTTTTCGATGATGAGTGGAAGTACGGTGTGAGGTTGCCTTGAAAATAAAGATCCTGCTTAACCATCTCAAGTCTCCTCTTCACTGTGTTAACAGGAGTTGTAACCCGCGACTTTGTCAGATGGAGCGCAATCACCAACCTACCCATGTAAGGCTTTTTTTTAATGGTTGCCACACACCAATGTAATGCAAATGCGTGGTGAAGCTATTAGTCTTGTCGTGGTGTTCTCATCCCAACGGAAAACAGGTCTGGCAACAGCCCAGCAACAACACAGTGGAATGGCGTCTGAGCGCGCACGATGTGCAACTGCACGGGATGGAGCCCCGGGCACCAGACTACAAAATGGACACCGCTGCGGGTGCATTTGGAACCCCTTCAGCTCTCTTATTCTACTCAGATCCACAACCTGCTCACGTCACCTGCAATCATAATAAACAACAAACAAGCACACGCAAAGTGGACCTCGACGTCCACCTGACCTGGAGAGCCACACTGCACACCACTTGGTGGTAGACAAATACCCGGAAAGTTGGTAGTAGTAGCCTTTGTAGTAGTAGTAGCCTTTGTAGTAGTAGCCTTTGTAGTAGTAGGAGTAGCCTTTGTAGTAGTAGTAGTAGCCTTTGTAGTAGTAGGAGTAGCCTTTGTAGTAGTAGTAGCCTTTGTAGTAGTAGGAGTAGCCTTTGTAGTAGTAGTAGCCTTTATAGTAGTAGGAGTAGCCTTTGTAGTAGTAGTAGTAGCCTTTGTAGTAGTAGGAGTAGCCTTTGTAGTAGTAGTAGCCGTAGTAGCCGGAGCAGAAGCCGAAGTAGTAACATCAGCAGGAGTCGAACTCTGCGAGTCGGCGAGCATGTCCCGGGTGAAGGCGAGGGAGCCGTTGTGCGGCTCGGGCTGCACCCCGAGCAGCTCGCACATGAGCGCGTACACGTGCACGCTGGCGAACGGCTCCGCCACGTAGCCCCGGCGGAAGCGAGGCCCGAAGGCGCGGAAGATGGTCCACATGTCGGGCACCTCGTTGTCGTAGCCGTGGTCGCCCTTGTTGAACTGGAATATCATCCTCTGTCCGGAGGGGGGAGGGGGGGGGGGGAAACAAAGGGGGCTTTCGAACAACCCGGTCGGATCGACATCGTGCAATGAGCCGCTTTTATCTCCTCCCGATAAATCAACATTCAGACGGGTTTAGGTGCATTGTGTGTTGTGGTTTGATGTTAATGACTCTCATACAAGTAGGTGCGGAGTGGAGGGCAGTGCAGTATAATCAGCTGCTTTACTGTCCTTCTGTGCTCTCACATCTATGCTCTCAGCCTTCACCAACCCGCATTGACCAGCGTGGTGAAGTATATGCACAAACAGTAAACCGACTGCCTGAACTGCGTGGGGAGAGCCTCGTCGAGCGACGGACTGACAAATGGCTGTACGGGCAGAGCTGTACAATGATGTTCATCGCGATGCAAACACGGTCGCGTAAGATGTCGACTTTGGTGTGAATACTCAACCCCATTGACCACGTAGCCAGGGTCTCCGTACACCAAGATGGGCAGGATGCGCTCGTGGTTGCGGTAGTGAAAGCGCTCTGGGAACTCTTCCTTCTTATAAACGTGCAGGTGCGGGTGGGCACCCTTCAGGGCCTGGTACACTTCCTCTTCCTTCCCTTCCTTGGGCAGAAGCATGCCGGACGGCCCGTAGTCCACCAGGTCGAACTTGAGGTCCCTTGTGAAGTTAATGAAATTTTTCAGCACAATTTCATCGATAGACGGAAATTTCTGAGTGGTGAGCATGCCGTGATCCGAGGTGATGATGACGTTGAGAGTGTCCTTCAGGCCGCTCCTCTCGATGGCTTCCACCAGGAAGCCGATGGTCTCGTCCACCTTTTTCACAATCGCCCGCCGCTCTTCCGTCTCTGGTCCATACTTGTGGCCCGTGGAGTCTGGCTCGCCGTAGTACAGGCCCACGAAGTCGAGGCCGTCTTTGACGAACCAGTCCATGACGATGTCAATGTTGAGGCGCCACTCGGTCACGTTGCTGTTCGGATGATCGTCCGCCTCCGCCACGGCCTTGGATGGAGTCTGGCCAGAGTACGTGGCAGCTCCGCCGGGGAAGTGGAACGAGCCGGTCTTCAGGCCCTGAAAATGGGGAAAAAAATATAAAAACGCAACGGCGGTGGAAAGATATTTTGATGTCAACTTTCACAAATCAACTTTGTTTGAGACCACTAGGGCATAAAGTGCCTTTTTCAATCTTATAGTTCAAGATGGCACTGCTCGAAAGAAGAGGAGTTGATCGGAACAGCAGCCTGGTATCTTTGTTTCTCTTATTAACTTCAACTTTTTAAGTAAACTTTTGTTCAGACACCTCCAAACATGTCAGTCGATTTCTCTGCCACCTCTAAGAATTATTCATACAAAAGGTCAGCCAGTTAGGTGTTTGTTCTTTCATTAGGCAGAGTTAATGACAAATCTGGTGACGTGTTGTTGTTGTTGTTGTTGTGATAATGCATTTGTAGTTACTATTATAATTAATAGGATTGGGCACAATCTTAATTGTGTGGTTTTAAGAGTTAACCATACACACCAGTTGAAAAGCCTGCAAATGGGTGTCACTTAGCCAACCTTGAAAATCCAGACGATACGTGTGACTTGTTTTCAACGCAAGTCAATTTGCGTAGCATCTAAATGTGAACGCATCTCAAGATGCTGTATAGAAACAACAGGCATTATGCAGAGAGAGGTAACCAGTCATAGGCAAGGGAAAAGAGAAGCATAGTGAACTTTAACGGGGACAGGTACGTGGCCGAAAGATGTTTATGACGAGGACGGGCAGGACAGGAGAACGTACGACCTCCCTCTGACCAAAGGTTGATTTGGCGGCTTTGGCAGAAGGCGAAGCTAAGCATGCCCAAACTACGGTGGTCGCTTTTCGAGAGCATGAAGGCCAAGAGACCTGGTTCTGTGCCGTGATCCAGATGGGGAGGGTCTGGTTCCACCATTCGGAGCGCAGTTGCGTTTTCTTAAAGTTGCGTTTTTCTCTGGTCTCTGGATTGAACAGCATGTTGTGAATGACGCCGTGAGACTCTGGGTGCCTCCCTGCGCACACCGCGCACACAGACAAAAGAGTCACACCAAAGTTAATAATGTGTATAATACTGACCGTTCTTCAATATGGCTCCCTATGTCACAGTGAAAAAACGATGCGAAACTATCATTTATTTAGTTTATTTTACCAGGCAAGGCCCACTGAGCTATATACTGTAGCTCTTTTCAGAAGCGACCCTAGCCACAAATTATAGCTCAACGAAGTGGCTTATCACGTGGAAATTTATCGCAGCCAAATACTCTAAACGCGTGTTTCTAAATGTGGAGGTAAAAACCGGAGGACCCGGAGGAAAATCCACACGACCACAGGGAGAACGTGCAAACTCCAAATATACAGGAGTCAGGGTCTGGATCGGGATTGAACCCACGATCTCCTGCATACCAGGCGAGGTAGTTAACATCTCGCCACGGTGTCCGCACAGTGGTTTGGACCACGTGCTACGAGCCTGGCGACCTGAGTGTAATTACCAGCCACGGCTAACAATCAGTGACGAGTGATATCGGAAACCCGTTCTTACGTGCACCCCCCACTACTGCCCACCCAACGCATGTTTTTTTACACTGGTAAAATACATTCAATTGTATTAAGCTCTCATATAGAGGATATTCAGGGATGTATAATAACATATTTTGGCAGCCTATTTCAACTTTCACCACGCACCGCTGCATCGATTTCACACCAGTGCACGGGGAAAGCTCCTGAGAGCGAAATTGCTCAATGAGCAGCCCGACCTTGGAAGAAGAAAACCCGCACTTGGATCGACTACCATTTTTAAATCAGCAAATCGATCTACTTTTTTTATTTAAAAGCGAGAGAGAGAAACAGAGAGCTACTTGAAACTGAAATGATATTTTTTCAAGGTGAGATCTGGGTCAAGAGGGAAATGCAGATTGCGTACGAAAAACAAACACAACTCTAAACAAGGTCGACAAAACTTACATGACCAATCAATATTTATATAGAGCACTTTACAAAATGTAACATTTACATGCACGAATGGCCATTACTTATAACAGTTTAGAATATAAAAGCGATTTTGTTTAAATATTGACAAAGCAATGTATCCTTGACCAACTCAATGAACGGTAATAAAATATTAAAGCACAATGGGCACACGTTGAAGGTACAAAAGGTGCAACCCTGGCATTGCTATCTCACGCCGCTGTTTTGGTGTAAGGGCGTCCACTACAGAGCTGTTCCAGAGGGGTTATTTGGCGAAAGGGTGCTGGATACTTCGGCCGTGGAGAAGAAAAAAAACCCCGAAAGTAATCCAATGCACATGACGACCACAGAAGAAGAGGAAGAAGAGGGATTCCGGCTCGGGCGTCGCATCCCCAATCGAGTAGCCGGGATTGAGGTCGAAAAATTAGCTACTGGGAAAGCAGCAACAGTAGCACGTTGGCACAAGACAGCGGAAAGTGGAAACTTTTCAGTTTAGTTTTTATTTAATTTATGTATTTGGTATAGCCCTGTGAGCCATTCGGCGCTTGAATCGGGTGTAACCACAACAAACAAAAACACGAACAAGAAAACATCTTAAAGCGACTATGTGACTGTGCAAACAGAAAATCCATGAAAAAAACAGCAAAATATTCACTACATGACTAGACACACACTGCACACACACTACACTCACTACACAGACACACACTACACACACACTACACTACACACACTACATAACTAGACACACACTACACGCACACTACACTCACTACACACTAATGACGAAATGTGCAGTGGACACCTACGGGCTATCTGCCCATGGATCGTAATGATCCACGCGGGCCAGACGCCTTGGGAAAAATGGAGGGGTGGGGGGGGGGGTGTGGTACCCACACTTTACCCCACCTCACTCGACCAACAAATCGACGAACTGTGGTCTCCATATTTGCACTTTTCTGGTGGAGAGAGGCAGGGGCTTTGAGGAATGTGCCCATCTTTTAAACTCACGTGCCAGGAGAGCTTGAATCGACCAGCGTGCGAATACTGTGGCAGCACGCCCCGAACACCAGTTACGCTAAAAACATTGGGCTTCAGCTAAGCTTCATCCGTCCCTGTGACGAGAAAATGTGCCCTACATTTTAACAGTGGCCAAACGTCTTGGAAGATTGGAAGAGGTCGGAGAACTCACATGGACACCTCGCGATTGCAGAACGGGCAACCCCTAGAGGGCATGTCGAACAGTTGGTATTACGATTGTTTAAAATAGGTTCGTAATTTTAATTGAGCCTCTAGATGAATCATCGAGGCTTCCGACTCAGAGGTGCTGAAGGGTTACCAGTGACGAGGGTGAAGTGAGACGGAGAGGTCATCGTGACGAAGGGCGGCACCATGTGTCGCGCTGCGACCCCGACGGTGCGCAGGTGGTCCAGGTTCGGGGTGTCCACGTCCTCGTCGTAGTTCCAGCGGAATCCGTCGAACGAGACGAGCAGCAGCTTCTGACGCTGCCCTCTGTGCGACGGCAGCGCGCTCGATCCCGCGCACGCGACGCAGAGCGCGAGCGCCAGGAGCTGGCGCCCCGATCCTCGCTCTCCTGCCAGCGCCGTCATCGTCCTACAAAGGCTTGGAGGTTCTTCTTCCGAGGACAGTGAGAGCCGAAATGTTCCTTTTGTCTCCACACCACTGCCCTTTCGATGGATATTTAAGGGCTAATGACAGGTGCAAAGTGTCACCAATATAGATAAGAGAGAGAGAGATACGCCGACAATGCCTCGGTTGTCTTGGCTAACTTCAACATGCCCGCTACTTGATTTTGTCCCCGATTAAGGAAAAAGGTGCAGCCCTGCAATTGCTCGCTCACACCACTGTTGGAAGAAAGCCTCCACTACACAGCTGCTCCAGAGGGACATGGCCCCCTCTTCCACGCTGACCAGACGCCTTGGAGGAGGTGGGGAAAGGGGGTTACCCACACTTTACCCCCACCGCAACTCGACCCACCAATCGACTAACTGCGGTCTTCCTGTTTGCGCTTGTGGGTGGAGAGAGGCGCACGATTTGATGATATTTTCCCATCTTTTAAACTGACGTGCCAGGTGAGCCAATCAATCAGTGCGTTCACACTGTGGCAGCGTCCCCTAACACCAGATACACGTAAAACATTGGGTTCCAGCTATGCTTAGCCATTGGGCGCCACGGTGGCAAGATGTTAACTCCCTCACCTGGTATTTAAGGAGGTTGTGGGTTCAATCCCGACCCTGAAGCCTGCTGTATATATGGAGTTTGCATTTTCTCCCCTTGATTGCGTGAACGTTTCTCCAGGTCCTTCGGTTTCCCCGGCCACATTTCGACTCAACGTGCGTTTCGAGTATTTGGCCGCTAAAGATTTCCACATGATAAGCCACTTCGTTGAGCTATCATTTGTGTCCAGGGTCGCTTCTGAAAAAGAGCCATTTAGCTCAGTGGGGCCTTAACCTGGTAAAATAAACTAAAATAGTTTAGTTTTAGTTCATCGGCAGACGTGACGAGGGTGTTTTGCCCTACTCATCGACACTGGCCAGGCGTCTTTGGAAGCTTGGAAGAAGTCGGAGAACCCACGTGGACTTCTCGCGGTTGCAGAACAGGCGAACCCTGGAGTATTTCCTCGTGGCGCTGGGCGACAGTGTAGATGCGCAGATCGCAATGCTTCGTTGGGCTTTAAGTGGTACATCAAGGTCGAGTGGAGATGTCTCAGGATTTTTGGAATTTGAAATGATGAGATGTATCACATTTGACAAGCATTTCTTAGGTATTTCAATAAATGCCAATGTATCGATTTAAAGCTTTCGTGACTGCAGGGATTCATATTCTTGGTTCTTTCGGTAAAGTCACGTAGAAGGGAAATAATAAAATAATGCAAATAAAACAATAATTTTATTAATTTTAAACAATAATTTAATTGTTCTATTTGTATTATTTTATTATTTCCCTTCTACGTTACTTTACCGAAAGAACCAAGAATATGAATGCCAATGCGTTAAATTATGGGCGCATTATAAATATAAGTTGTTTGTCATTGTTGTTGTTGAATGACTCTGATCAGATGCTGGTTTGATATGTGATTACGTGACGCAATTATGATTTCTATAGATCGCCTATCATTTCAGGACTGCTTTTCCTCCGAACGATATCTTTATTTTTCACGTTGTTTTACGTTGTAGAAAACTCAGCGAATTGCACCGTGGTGCAAACGATTAAAATATTGTTTGGTAACATCTTGCAACCTTCTGGAATGACCCAGAAATTATATGCCAGGCTCCTTTGATCCTGCAATTGTGATCATTCATCACACGAAAGTTAAAATTATTATTAATTTATAATGTCAGAGCTGGAATTTAGCCAAATTGCAAACCCCAGCGTAGTAAAATTTGATATTTTTTACGCAGTCGTTAGAGACACTGGCACTGTCAACTCACTAAACCTGACCTCCCATGGAGCTCGTCAACTCACTACACCTGACCTCCCATTGACCTCGATTCACTAAATGTGACCTCCCATTGAGCTCGTCAACTCACTACACCTGACCTCCCATTGACCTCGATTCACTAAATCTGAGCTCCCATTGAGCTCGTCAACTCACTGCACCTGACCTCCCATTGACCTCGATTCACTAAATCTGACCTCCCATGGAGCTCGTTAACTCACTACACCTGACCTCCCATTGACCTCGATTCACTAAATCTGAGCTCCCATTGAGCTCGTCAACTCACTGCACCTGACCTCCCATTGACTTCGATTCACTAAATCTGAGCTCCCATTGAGCTCGTGAACTCACTACACCTGACCTCCCATTGACCTTGACTCACTAAATCTGAGCTCCCATGGAGCTCTTCAACTCACTACACCTGACCTCCCATTGACCTTGATTCACTAAATCTGAGCTCCCATTGAGCTCGTTAACTCACTACACCTGACCTCCCATTGACCTCGATTCACTAAATGTGAGCTCCCATTGAGCTCATCAATTCACTACACCTGACCTCCCATTGACCTCGATTCACTAAATCTGACCTCCCATTGAGCTCGTTAACTCACTGCACCTGACCTCCCATTGACCTTAATTCATTAAATCTGACCTCCCATTGAGCTCGTCAACTCACTACACCTGACCTCCCATTGACCTCGATTCACTAAATCTGACCTCCCATGGAGCTCGTTAACTCACTGCACCTGACCTCCCATTGACCTTGATTCACTAAATCTGAGCTCCCATTGAGCTCGTCAACTCACTACACCTGAGAACCTGTTTAATCTGGTGGCTGCCCAGGATCGTATCGGATGCCAGACCAACGTTCTTGGTTTTTGAGACACTCGGGCCATCGCAACTGAATGTGTTTCTTTCAAGCTCCGTGTACTTTGCTGTACCTTGCTCTCAATGCTGTACCCTGCTCTATATCAAGAAAATCGACGTTTTGTAACCAGGAAGTGCAGATAGCGAGCAACGGAGGAATTTTAACCGTAGCACTGTATATCGAATAGACTTTATGGCAAAGTAATACCATTATAATTATTAATGCTAATTGTTTATAATATTAATTACACACAATCGGGACTCATTTTCAAGCGGGTGGTGCATTGAGAAGTTTGGCAAACAACATTAAAGAGCAATTGGCACATTAGGAGGAAACGGCTGTAACCTTAGAAACCCCACGCACAGCTCCCACACACAACTTCAATCCACAAGCAGACTTTGATCCAGTGAGTGGACCAAATCTGTGGACCAAACCCACTATTGTACTGCCACTTGCTGCTGGCAACTCGTGGGCCCTCGCAAGCGTCATGCCTACAACACGTGTCAGGCAAGCCCCGTGGTGGTCACCCATCCAAGCTCGAACCGGACTCAACTCTGCTTGGCTTGCGAGATCTAATGAGGCCTGGAGCACTTGGTGGGCGCCACGGTGGCGAGATGTTCACTATCTCGCCTGGTACGCAGGAGGTCGTGGATTCGATCACAACCCTGATGCCTGCTGTATATTTGGAGTTTGCATGTTCTCCCCATGGTCGCGTGGATTTTTCTCCGGGTCCTCCGGATTTTCCCTCTACATATAGAAACGTGCGTTTACAATATTTGGCTGTTGTAAATTTCCACATCATAAACCACCACATTGAACTAGCTATCAATTGTGGAAAAAAAATTGCTATATCGCTCAGTGGGCCTTACATGGTAAAAAAAAAAAAACTAATGGTAATTTGGTTGTATCGTGTATTCATGATGCTGCGCAGTGGTGCCTTGTGATTTGTGCAGCTTTGCTCGTCACCTTCTTTCACTGGAGCCAATCAGGAGGCTCGGTGGTAGAGTGAGCGACTCGCAATTGGAAGGTTGTGACTGAAAATCCCGGCCTGTAGTCGACTCAATCCATCATCTTTTCGGGGGTCGGTAAAATTAGGACCACTTTGTGGGGAAGTCAATAGTGGTTGTTCTATGGCTCATCCCGGTAATAGGAACGTGGAATTTCCATCACTAGCTCAGGGCTGTGAACGGTAGATGAGCACCACCTAAATGCTTATTTGAACCAGTTATTAATTGGACCTGACTATTCTCACTTCAAGTGCAAAAAAGTAAAGGCGCATGAAAATGTCTCGCCGAACATTGAAGACGTTACACAGTATTATTCCCATCGTTGAGCAACGCACACTGACTAAATTCGGTACCAAATGTGGTTGCAGAGAGAATTATTGTGCAGCGCGGTGAGATTTAAGCTGCAGTGTTTGCGCGGGCGAGATGTGCCATTCAAGAGATGCGATTCAAGCGGCCGTAAAGACGCATCGCCACTGTCTAACGTAGCCAGCTGCGCTTGATTTACTGCAGAACTCGGTTAGTGCGGGTGGACACGTTGAATTGATCAGGGCTTGCAGAGAGTGTTGTGTGCATTTCCACCATTAAAATAGATCCCACTCATTACTGCCAACAGCCCAGCTTCACTGACTAGTACATTGTTCCGATATTTCTTGCAGGAGAAAGGGGAAGGGTCGAATCAACATTAAGATGTGTTGAACATTTGATCCAGCAAAGACTTAACCCTAGATCAAATTCATTAGTTGGAGACGATTGTAGGAAAATGAGCGGTCATTCTGCGCCAAGGTCACTTTGTTAATTTCGGCTCGAAGCTAGAATCTGGAGCGAAGCTGCCACAGACTAACGACCGACTGTAAATGTGTACTTGAGCCCACAAAATCAGGCACCTGCCTACCCAGAGGAGAATGTTGACGTATCGAATAAGAGGCTACGGTTTTGAACACCTAACGCGTGCGCAGGTCGTTTAATTTGTTTCACGCGATGCGTGTGAGTCATGCGTGTGCCATCAGGTTCTTGAGCGGCCTCTGAAGGAACGCATAAACATGTATGGTTTTTTTTGGTAAAGTCACGTAGAAGGGAAACAATAAAATAATAAAAATATGAAACAATAAAATTCTCACGACGTTTCGACTGCAACACAAGCAATCATCATCAGGTGTGAAAACCACAGCAAGAAAATTTGAAATCTTTGGGGATGCCGAATACGGGACTTAATGCCAACTGAGAGCATAAATAAGCAATGAAGTGTACGCATAAGAGGTACTAAAATATTTGTTT